GTGTGTGTGTGTGTGTGTGTGTGTGTGTGTGTGTGTGTGTGTGTGTGTGTGTGTGTGTGTGTGTGTGTGTGTGTGTGTGTGTGTGTGTGTGTGTGTGTGTGTGTGTGTTAGACCCGTTAGCGTGTGGCTGTGACTCCATAGCCTGTACAATATCACAAGGTAATTCAAGACGCAGTGTTCACCCTGCACCACCAGCGTCCTCACCACCAGCGTCCACTAGCACCAGCGTCCTACCACCACCAGCGTCCACCACCACCAGTGTCCACCACCACCAGTGTCCACTAGCACCAGCGTCCTACACCACCACGATGTCACCACCACCAGCGTCCACCACCACCAATCACTACGCACCAGCGTCACCACCACCACCAGCGTCCACCACCACCAGCGTCCACCACCACCACCAACGTCCACCACCACCACCAGCGTCCACTAGCACCAGAGAGAGAGAGAGATAGAGAAAGTATGGATCTATTTGACATAACTATATAGAATTGGATATTCCAATCGATTTTATGCGATTTTATACCGTTTTAAATGTCAAACCTGAAAATTGTCCTCATGGGAGGAAGACGAGGAGGAGGAGAGAGGCAGTGTGGGGAGGAGGGTGACAGGTGACTGTATTATTTGGGAGGTGAAGAGGTAACTGGAGGAAGGAGGTAGCTTGGAGGAGGAGGAAGGAGATATGAGAGGAGGAGGAGGAGAGGAGGGTAACTTGGAAGAGGAGGGTGAAGCTTGGAGGAAGATGAGGAAGAAGAGGTGGCTTGGAGGAGAGGAGGGTGGCTTGGAGGAAGAGGAGGGTAAGCAGAGGAAGAAGGAGGAGAGGTAGCTTGGAGGAGGAGGAGGGAGGGAAGGAGGTAGCTTGGAGGAAGAGGGAGGAGGGAGGTGGCTTGGAGGAAGAGGGAGGTGGCTTGGAGGAGGAGGAAGAGGAGATAGCTTGGAGGAGGAGGAAGAGGAGGAAGAGGAGGTAGCTTGGAGGAAGAGGAGGTAGCTTGGAGGAGGAGGAAGAGATAGCTTGGAGGAGGAGGAAGAGGCTCAATAATTCGAGGTCTGGACGCCATGTATCGTTCCGGTTCATGTTGTGTTGCAAACTGTATGTCATATACTTGTATCTTCCCCCTCCTCCTCTTCTTCCCCCTCCTCCTCTTCTTCCCCCTCCTCCTCCTCCTCTTTCTTCTCTCCTCCTCCTCCTCCTCCTCGTCCACTCTCCCTACCGTGGCCTTCTTAATCTTTTATTGTCAGAGAGAGAGAGAGAGAGAGAGAGCGCCTCATGTAAATCAACCACTATTGTTATCATCATCGTCATAATTTTGTAATATAATTCTTTTCTCTCTCTCTCTCTCTCTCTGCGTCACATGACAGGTATAGAAAGTGTACTGTAGGTGTAGGCTTCAGGCTAGACCACACACCTACACACACACCTGTAATATTACACCATTATAACCTTACCACACCTTTACTTGGCACGGCTTCCCCCACTCCTCTCCCCACTCCCTCTGACCTCACACACACACACACACACACACGCGCACTTCGAAACTGAACTGTGAAACTAAACACGAATGTAAAACTTTTAACGAAATTAGAAAAAAAAAATCATACTCACTCACTCACTCACTCACTAACTCACCGAGAAAGCCTTGATCTAATCGCACTCCTGACCCAGTTTCATAGGAATATATAAATACTTAACTTCATTCTCAAATACTTTAAAGAAATACACAAAAATTAAACTAAACTTTGTAAAGAAACTAGACTAAATTTAACACTTAAGTTAAGACACCATCATAACTGTCTATATTATTAAGTTAAATAATAAATAACTCACTCCAAATAAATATCTTTACGATTATGCATTAAACAATATGACACAATGGACGAATGATTTTGACAGCCCTCCCGAGATAACAGGAGTTGAGTGTTCATTTGGAAATTCATCGATCACCTTTCGTATAGATACTTTTTTTTGCAGTGTGTGTGTGTGTGTGTGTGTGTGTGTGTGTGTGTGTGTGTGTGTGTGTGTGTGTGTGTGTGTGTGTGTGTGTGTGTGTGTGTGTGTGTGTGTGTGTGTGTGTGTGTGTGTGTGTGTGTGTGTGTGTGTGTGTGTGTGTGTGTGTGTGTGTGTGTGTGTGTGTGTGTGTGTGTGTGTGTGTGTGTGTGTGTGTGTGTGTGTGTGTGTGTGTGTGTGTGACATTATATCTAGGTTATGACTGAAGGTAGAGTTATGTTTACGTGTGTATTGTATCTAGGCTGTGTCACTTATGGGTACTATTTATACTTGGGAATTATTACACCTGGTTTTTTTACACCTGTCTCTCTCTCACATTCTCAAGAGTAATCATTCAGCTGACAGAACTCGACTCTATGACAGTACTGTGGTCTTGACCCAGAATCGTGCTTTAATAATTCCCCCCAGCCAGTTATCAGACAGACGGAGCACCGATGAAGGAGGTCTCGACCATCCCCCCCGGCAGTAGTAGTAGTAGTCCAAGGTAATGGTTGGTCTAATGTGAGTTGCCACCTAACCACTTTGCCAGGGCGAGTATCCACTACCGGGGTCCTTAAAATCTGGGTCCTTTAATCGGGATCCTAAAATCGGAGTCCTTTAATCGAGGTCCTGAAATCGGGGTCTTTAATCGGGATCTTTAAAATTGGGATCCTTTAATCGAGGTCCTGAAATCGGGGTCTTTTAATCGAGGTGCTTAATCGGGGTCCTGAAATCGGGAGCCTTTAATTTTACTGTATTGGCTAATTTTTTTGGGTGGGTTCAGTTTTTGTACATAATTACACGTTATATACTTTGACCCAAATCTGTACCTATACTTTATACCTAAATTTGTACTGCATCTGTTTACTCATATTTGTGCTTGAATGTCCACTGTGTGTGTGTGTGTGTGTGTGTGTGTATAGACAGGCAGACATTCATTCTAGCAGTGTCTTAGAGAATCTGGGGTGTAGGTAGAGAGAGAAGACCGCATAGCAGGTGAGCTTTAACGTAGACAGAGAGAGAAAAAGAGAAAGAGAGTAAGTAGAGAGATGGAGGAAAGGTTGAGAGAGAGAGAGAGAGAGAGAGAGAGAGAGAGGGGTAATTTTTGCCAGTCATCAATTAAGCCTTTAGATTTAGAAGCAAAATTATACATTATTATTATTTCTTCTTTAAAGACTCATTATAATTCGTGTATTTTGGTCGTAAAGGTTAATAATGAACTGTCACGAACACACACACACACACACGAACACACACACACACACACACACGAACACACACACACACACACACACACACACACACACACACACGATTAAAAAACTGTGTGAGTGTGTGTCTGGGAGAAAGTGGAGATGAAGGGAAGATGAAGAAGAAAACGGAGGTAGAAAACGTCGGATAATAGACCCGCCATTCTATAGTAATTTCACCCTGGATGATAACGTGCGCATTGTAAGTCGCATTATGTTAAAAAAAATGGGTGGGGGGCACTTAACTGTTCTTTTATTATACCATTCATTTTGTAGATAAGGAGAGATGTATTGATTTGCACATGTTCGTCTGTCTGTCTGTCTGTATATTCTGTTGTATTTCCGCACCTCGCAAAAGCTGTCCAGTGTCGAGTATTGAAATGTTGTTAAGTAAATTTTTAAGTTTGTAAATTTGTGGATTTTTATGTCCCCGCCAAAAACTCAACAGGCAGAGAACTTGTCGCGTCCGTTGGGTGTAAACAGAAGCTGCCCCTCCTCGCCTTGCCTCACCTGCCCCGCCTCGCCTCACCTGCCTCGCCTCGCCACACCTGCCCCGCCTCGCCTCACCTGCCTAACCTCGCCTCGCCTGGGTCAATAAGATTACAATAGTGCCATAACTCCCTAACTAAGTCCCTATATTCACGAAATCACCTTCTTTTTTACAGTTTTCACCATAAAATATTCCGTGACGTGACCCAAACACTATATATGGAATGTGTCCGCTAAAACAGTTGAAGTTTTCGTTGTGGTAAAATTTGTATTCCCCGCCTCTGAGTCTCCGAATGTTTCTGTTGACATGTTGCCCGTGTGTCCTGCTGGTCACCATGACGTATACATCTTCCCCAAATATGTAAGTTATTTTTAAAAATCTCGTCGAATTTTTTTTTTCCGGGGGGGATTTGAACCTTTTGTGGTCATTCGAGTCGGATGTATTTTACAGACATGACCTTTTTTACATTTTTAGACGACATGGCCCAACCAAACCTTAACCTACCTGAACGATTTTTTCTGATATTTTTTTTATACAAGATCGTTTGTTTGTGTGTCTTTCTTTAGAACAAAAAGTATGGATAAATAAACGTCTTGGCGGGTGTGTGCGTGGTACTTTTTTTAACATTGACTATATAACCTCCCCCCCCCCCCGTCTCCTTCGTCAATGTTGGACAGACACACGAGGAGCACCACCACCCTAGCGAGGTGTAGGTTAGGGTGTTAGGTGTAGGTTAGGGTGTTAGGTGTAGGTTAGGGTGTTAGGTGTAGGTTAGGGTGTTTAGTCATTAGATGAAATAAACTGGGGTGCCTAATCTTCAGGTGACCGGGAAAAACGACAGAAATTTGGCATTATATTAAGAATCGTTACAGGAAAAAATTATGTTGATATCCAATACACAATAAAAATAAATGACCTGTTTTGTTTTTTTTGTTTTTAAGTGAAAATAGACTTGACATGACCTGGTGATGATTGAACCTCCCTCCCACCTGGCTAGCTGGCTGACTGGCTCGTCCTCTCAATTATACACACCTGGCCTACACCTCTCCCCTCACCTCACCTTTGACCTCTCACCTTGACCTTGTTCAGTCACTCACCTTTCATCTTGACCTCTCATTCAATAGATGTGTTACCTAATGTTAATAATAATTATGACGATAAATAATAAAATAATAATAATAATAATAATAATAATAAGATGAAAGAGCGATAAATAATAATAATAATAATAATAATAATAATAATAATAATAAAATTTGTTCTTTGCAGGTAGCGAGGGAGGACAGTGGTGGTGGTGAGGGGTGAGTGACGGTCACCTTTTGTCCTCGTGTCAGGTGTTGACTCTGGCCTCCCCTGGCGGCGTAACCCATGTCGACCTGCTAACTGGCGCCGGCGGCCACAGGTGCTGGGGCAGGTGGGTCAATTTATACGTACACGTCAGTCAGTAAGTCTGTGTGTGTGTTCGTGTTTCTTGTATCACCTGAAGATTAACCACCCTATCGCAAAGCTAACCTAACCTAACCTACCCTTATACCCTACCCTATCCTACCGTAAACCTAACCTAACCCCTAGGAAACGTTAGAATGGTTAAATCTGTAGAAGAAATAACCTAGAAGTCGGGATGGGGCTAATCTTCGTGTGACCTTTATTAGAATATGATTTTTTTCAACACTACACCATTTGACCTGTAGCTTATAACCGATGATTCTTATAAGTAAACAACGATCATTAATAAGAACATGCTTGAACGCCTTTGATCTTAACTGGGTGTTGAAGTGTGTGTGCTTAACCCTCGCCTCACGCAACTGATAGCACAGGCACACATACATTCAAGGCTCAGGATAAACTCACAGGATATTATTACGTTTGATTATTTCCTATACTCACGGCGTAGCTTATTTTCGAGTGCTTGAAATTTTGGGGTAAAAAGGAAATTTGATTTATTATTATTACAAGTTTATTTAAGGAACTTGACCAAATATAACGAAATTTTTATATTCAAGTGTTGGTGTGGGACTGATTGAACTCCTGGCTGTGAATGTTACTGAATTTCCTCTTAATTTAACACGACGAGACGTGTTTAAAATCAGTCAGCTGGCCTCGCTCTTGACGTCACGGATGTTTGTAAACAGTGGGTGAGATTTGAGGAGGTAGGAGGTTGTGTTGTGACGGTGGTGGTGATTGTGGTAGTGGTGGTGAACTTGTGTTGTGACGGTGGTGGTGATTGTGGTAGTAGTGGTTGTTTGTGGTAAAATTGACAGTGATAGTGGTATGGTGAGTTATATAATGATGGTGATTATGATACTGTATAGTGATATTCTAATAGTTGCTCAGATAGTTACGGTCACGGGTGGTATAGTAGTTGTAATTGTGGTTGATGGTGATTGTGGTTACAGCGGCAGTGATAATGATTGCAACAGTGGTGATGCTTCTGTTCTTGCTTATCATCATCATCATCATCATCATTGTATTTTTGCATCATCATTTACTAAGAGAGAGAGAGAGAGAGAGAGAGAGAGAGAGAGAGAGAGAGAGAGAGAGCTATGTCAGGCACGGGACACCTCTTTGATGGGACTAACAGGAGGAGGAGAGGAAAAGAAGGAGGAACATAAAAGGGGGAAGAAGGAAGAAGAGGAGAGGGAAGAGAATAAGAGTAAGGGAAGGGGAGAGTGAGAAGAAGGGAGGAAGAGAACGAAGATGAGGAGGAGAGAGGATGAGGATAATGGGGAGAAGGGAGGAAGAAGGAGATGAAAGAGAAAGAGAAGGATGAGGAGAAAAGAGGAAAATAAAGGAGGAAGACAGATAACAACTAAAAACATGTAATTATTATTTTTTGCGTCACTAAAATGATAAAATAATTTACTTACATTCATCACTAACTTGTTTATTGTTTGATAAGTTGATTAGTTAATATATACATAAATTTATAACTTTTATTTATATATGATATCCCTGATGTATCTTTTTTAATTTTTTTATGCCTGTCGACTGAATTATTTTTGTTTATTAATTTATTTTCCTTTTTATGTATTTCCTTTACTTATTAATTAATTAATTTATACATCTACTCATGCATTTAGTTGTCTGTGCATATGACGTCAATTGAGTCCATTTACTACATAATTTAACTCTAACGAACTTTATAAAGTTATTATAAGTTTAATGTGTGTGTGTGTGTGTGTGTGTGGATAGGAAGACTGGTCGTTGCGGGTGTCAGACGTTCGCTGCGGGTGTCAAATATTTGCTGCGGGTGTCAAACATTTCCTGCGGTTGTCAAACATTTACTGTGGATGTCAGACATTTACTGTGGATGTCAAACTCTTATTCTGAGTGTCAAACGTTCCTTGTGGGTGTTTTTTTTGACACGATAATAAAATTCTAAGTAAGCTTTCACATAGTCCCAACACCTTCAACACAAGACACGAAACATTACAAATTCTGTGTTTCGTGTTTTGCATCTTGAAAAGTATTACAGAAATTTCATAATTCTGGCAATACTTAGCTTAGACTTCCAATACAAACTACAGTGGATATAAATTTTGTATATTTTCGGTAATTGCATAATTTGGATTATGTAAGAGAATTTATTTTTTATTGATTTATATATTGATTAATATTATGTAGTTGTTTATTTTGTATTTATATATTGCTTGTGTTTGTTACACAACCTGATTCATGCAAGCAGGTGCGGTGAAAAAACATCACGGATATTTTTAACTCCCAATTGAACCTCCTGTCGTTTATGTGTTGATATTGATAATATTTATCTTTTACTGTGCTAGCCTTCTTGCCTTCATAACTCTCACCTCTGAAGACTCTATTTAATATTGCCTGCATGGGTTGGTCATCCTCAAAAGGTTTTCAAAGGCTCTCAGTCGTATGTGGTGTCGTCACTCTCACTGCTTGAACTAAACCTCTGTAAGGAGATTAAACACTCAATAGTGGTGTCGTAGCCCTTCTTTTTTTTACCTCTTGAGTCATGATAGTTTAGTACCTTGTATGACGAAATTTGTGGTTTTTATTTTTTGGCTGCGTTTAGTCAGAGAGGTAATTATATGGCTAGGCTGAAAGTCATCAGTAATGTTTGGTTTTGATTAGCGTAAGGAAGAAGTTATTAGACTTACTATTACTCTTAGCTGTAAGGGGTGTCGCTAGATTTGTGATCTGAGTGTTGGAATTAGAGTTTGTCTTTTTATATAGTTAATACTCCGCCATAAAACATTTAAATGGCTGAATTCTAGCAATAACAAAGACTTTAATGCTGGACGCTGATGGAGACATATTCGTCAACCAGTCTGCTGTTTCTTAATAGATCGTAAACCGTGAAAATAATAGTTTAAAGTTCAGTGAAATGAAATACACGACTTATGAGTACGCGTTTGATCTCTTGTCTTCAAATTGGTAAGCGGCAAATATAATCAATATTGGGCCGACTACCCAGTAAGGGAGGAGAGTTGGCGGCCCTTATCAGGGACCAGTTCTTGACGTGCTTTCCTTGCCCGGGAGAATAATAGTTACAGATAAAACTAGAGCGCTTCCAGGTCTTTGTTCATAGGCTAATAAATTATTCCACATAAACCATTTTTAACAATAAAAAAATAACGATAACGAAATATTAAAAAATAATAGCATCACTAATTCAACTGCAAGCTCATCATGAACGCACAGAAAAAAATATTAATCATCTCGTACTTTAACAATACATATTATAGGTGTGTTTAGTTGCCACCCCCGTCCTGACAAATTTCTGGGAACGCCATTAGTCTTGTTGGCCTGTAATATAGGCGGCTGTCGATTAATTCAGTACCGAGATGGAATTAGCGTATTATGGCTGCGAAATTTCCTTTGACTGCGGATGGAGGTGGGGGGGGGGGAATAGGAAGGAGCTGACTGGGTCATGCATGCTAAATTGCCGCCGCCGCTATCTGAAGTCTTCCAGCGAGGAGTCTCACGTATTAAACCATTATAGATCACCAGTTTACTCTTATTTATAATGTTGGTTTCCTTGGTCTATATTTTGTTAAGAGTTTTATGTTTATAAATTATGCCTGCATATTTATAATGTCTGAATATGATTGAAGGTCCTCCAGAGTCCAACCATTGCTGTTTCAGATTATTTCGGCAGTGTTATGACTTGACTAAGCCTTATAAAGTTCACGTGCGTTGAGATTATATTAATTTTATATTATTCACAGAAAACATTCATTCTGGAGAACCTTGGGCCTTTGATAGTTATTTGGTACAGTATACAAGTGTTAACGATACTCTACACAGACGTTCTATTGACTAGTAACATTACTCAGCATGTTTCTGTTCTGATGTCAGATAAGAGTGTGTAGTAGGCTATGAACCCAGACATTAGAAAGTGGTTCTTACTCTAGCTGCCTCGATGTTCATGAGTGAAAATGTTATTAACTCTTATCAGTTTCTTCATCCAACCAGTCAAGTGAGAAACTGTTAATATTCAGTCTTTACTCCACTACCTAACTAGTCATTATTGTTGAAGTTGCGTGCGGTCTAAATATATTATTTTTATTTGCCAAGTCTTTGGTATTTATTGTGCATATTTATGTAACAGTCCCTTAGTACTTATTAAGTAATGTGTGTGTATGTGTGCGCGCACGTTATGTGGGTATCTGTTGTACTAGACTAGCGGGAGTTAGCAAAGGGCCGCAGCGAGGGAGCGAAATAATTATATTCATTATAGATTTGGTAATTTCGTTTCTGCTTAGTTCTTGATGACGCTATCAACAGTAGTGGGTTTTTTCTCGGGCTCGTTGCTCACGTCTCACACACCAAGCCATTAACAGCCGTGGTGGAGTAGTACATAAAGTTGTTGGTCCACTATGTTCATGGCAAAATTGCTGTCTCTACCGTACCTGCAGTCTGCACCAGTCTAGAAAATTCTCAAATGTTCCTCGTAACTGATGATATAAGAATTCACCTGACTGGTTGATATTTAATTTAAAGCACTAAAATAACGTCCAAAAATATGCTCACAATTACACCAATATTTTTATATAATTAAATCACCATCATTATAGCCCCAAACAAATTAATGTAAATACAATAACCTTTGAAGGTTCTGTTTTTGTCTTCTAACTGGTGCTCAGTGAACGTATCTTGTTTTATATCATCTCGGTGTAATTATTAATGTTATTTTGTATATTAGTCTAAGTCAACAACCAGTGAATTCTTACATCTTCAATTACGAGGAGAATTTGGAGTTTCGTCTTTGTTTCTCGCGAGATTCGTTTTGCCACAGAGACAATTTAGTTTTGAAAGTTATTATGTTCTGGGTAGTGTTTTGATTTAAAGTATTTGTCAAAGCTTATGAGGCATTGCAGCATATAAATTTGGCATTTATTAATGATTTTGCATAAGTGTTTCGCAATGTCCAGATTGAACAAAACGTTTTTCTCGTTTTCCCGCGCGGGTGTACATGTTGTTGAGGTGGTGCGAGTTGTGCCAATTGCACCATGTTTTCGTTAAACCATGTCCAACCTTCTCCAAAATGTACTCGAAAGTTCCCAAGTCATTCTCTTGTATTGAAAAAAACCCCTACTTGGGTCCTATTTTAGCTCCTTAAAAAAAGATGGAGATATTCACCGTAATTTTCTCTATTGCGATTGATTTCATGTATTCCAGATCTTTTCCTCCTGATTTTTGCATAAGCACTATTGAGCAAAAGAAAATCTTCGTCAGACGATGAGCTAGACATCTTTACGGTACGGCAGCTGGACCACAACTCGCAGATATACATATAATATAGTATACCCCCCCCCTCCTGTATATCTGCGACCTGTGTCCACAATCCACATCCCAGCTTTGACAGTCGGCGTTTGTAGGCACCGGCAACCCTCAAGTGGGTAACCTGCTTTCTTTGTGTTCTTACCCTAAGGGTTCCGTAGTGATTTTTAGAGCTGACTGCCTGTTAATTGACTTAATTTAGGCTCAGTAGCCTCATTGGCGTACTCAACGGCGGAAGTATTAGCTGTGGTCACACATTGCTAGCTTGCTGCTGGTAGATCACTCGTGTGGCAGTGCAATCAAGGTGTAATGGTCTATTGTAGAGGCTATAGGCCTTGGTGTTGATGTTTTCCCGGATAGTCTACACTCCACAGCCTTGTGCATTTCGTTTCTCGCAAGTCGCATTGCCGAGGAGCATATAAGAAGAAATATTTGTAAGACTAAGTTTTGTTTTAAAGAATGTGGCTTTGACTGTCCTGTAGTTATTGTCGTGAGTGTTGCTGTTCCCATTCTGTCGAGAAAACACAAGAAACTTGCCTTTAATTGTGTCGTGTTATTGGTTGGATGAAAATGCAAGTCACACGCTATTTCCTGTCTTAGTAACCCAATGAGTGGCGCAGACTGAAATGGATCATTCATAAGTATCGGTTAAGTTTTACAAGTGGACTCTTAGTGATTTTAAGGTTTCTATCACATGCAATAGATATATCTTAATATTTGGAGTAACTTTAATTCGATATATTTCCGTCGCAAATTAATAATTAATGAACCTAACCTAACCTATCCCCGGACCCCCCCCCCCCCGCTATATAAACAGAAAGGACGTATTTTATTATCTGGTAATAATGAAAGAACTTCGTTGAAGCGTCATGGTATAATTTCTCTTTTTTATTTATTTATTTTTTTTTTAATTAAGAGTATGCTTGGACCAATATCTTCCATTCATGTAACTTGCGATAGAAATTCCATAACGAAAAGTGATAGGTGGGTGAGATCTATCTTTTGAAAGTTCACTTGTAAAATATGGTAATACCTTATCAAAGACAAAAACGTAAGTCAGTGCTCAGTTAAATAACAGGTATTGTCTTTCTACTTTACGATATATAAGCACTGTACAGTGTACACTATGTTTTACGGTGTTTACTTTTTTTGTGGACAGCTCACCCGGGCACAGGTCACTGACCCCTATTGCTGCCTGGGGGCGAAAATATAATACTAATAATATTATTATTATTATTAATAAATAGAAACAAATAAGAATTGTAATAAAAAAATAAGATAATCATAAATAAAAGATTAAAAAAATCAAGAGAGAAAATAAAAAATTTAAAAAAATCAAGAGTGAGAAAATAATAATAATAATAATAATAATAATAATAATAATAAAAATAATAATAATAAATAAAAATAAATAAGAATTATAATAAAAAATAAGCGAAAAAGTGAGACATGCAATTTTGTGTAAATGAGGCAGTTGTCAGATCAGCAACCTGGGACCTGGTCACAATTTTTGTGATGCCACATGGCAGCCGGGTCGACCATTAGAAAACACATTATGCTTCCAATATTCCTAGGCAGTAGTACCTCCTTGTTTGATAGCTGCCCACTACTGCATTATTGACAAACCAAAGGTTAAAACAGTACAGTACAATACAGTATTTGTGTTGTGTGCTCTGTCGGTCTGGCCAGGATAACGTGACCAGTGTATCCATCAGTGTGGTGGAGCTTTTATTGTTTTCCCTGATTCACTAACAACCGTGGGGAGTTACCGCAAAGTGTTCACCATCCAGGAACAGTATTCTCAGAGATTCTTACGTTAGTATTTTCCCATATTTGAGAATAATTTTGATGTCCATTGAAAATCTAGTTGAAGTGGTGATATGTATTTTCACATCACCAGTTAATTGGCAAAACCAATTTGTGAATCTGAGAATCAGGGTTCTTGGCATCATGTTGGCTGTTGCTTGTACTATTGGTAATTATTGACGAGATACCAGTCGCCAATTTTTCATAAAAAAAAAAAATGCTGCAATTTCACAGTTTTATAGTGGACACTGTTGTAGTCTGCACACATGTATTAAAATTTGGTTATTTCTAAGTTAAACCTAACCGAACTTTAGTTGGTAAGAAAAACAAGCAGCTGAAGCGTTGTTAGAAGAACGCACCCCTGGACCTCACCAGCATATTAAACAAAAAGAACTTACTATGGTATGGTGTAATTTTATGTCTTTTGTGGATGTGAGAGAAGCTGCCCAGACCGAGCGGCTCATAAACATACACTGAGCGTAGGACAAAATCACCGCTTAAGACGAAGTAATGCCGCTAATGGGAGCCTAGGGGCCTAAATATCTACCAAACGAAGCATTTCCCCAAGAAATGAATATCATATCTGAACTCAGTGATGAAAATATAGTAAGAAGATCCTTTGAAACAAAGTGGCGATGGGTATCTCATCAATATTAACCCTTGTATTGAGTTTATGTAGTTTAAAATTCACATGATTTGTATGAAGGTACTGAAGCTTTGGCAATGAATAACTTGAGAAAGTAGTGTTTTGAGCTGGCCAGAGTAGGTAGTGCATGTGTGTGATGCTTGCCATCTCCTGCAGATGTCAGCTGTTTCTGCCGTGGACCCCCCTGGGGGCGCCGGGCAGGACGGAAGCAACATTCCTTTCATCGACGACAGCGGTTCCTCTTGTGCTTCCTCCATGATGGGTGAGGAGGATGACACTGCCTCGCTGAGTAGACTGCTCGATGATGCTGCTTCCAGGGAGCTTAGCATCAATGGCCTACATGACGACCTCGCCTCACTCTCTTGTGGGTATGCTTCTCTTGATGCCCATAGTGATGCCCACAGTGATGCCCCTAGTGATGCCCACAGTGATGCACATAGTCGAAGTGATGTGGGCAGCAGCGGGGAATCACAGGAGAAATCTCGGACAGGTTCAGGTAGGTGGTCATGGCAGCAGTCGTCACCTGGGTCCCGAAGGACTTCAAAGTCAAGCATCAAATCCACAGACAATCTTTATGAAGAACCTGCTGATAATGAAGACAATGACGAGAAGCCTCGACCAGCACTGCCGCCTTCCTTGCCACCATGTGACACATGTGAGGACCGCTCCTCGACTTCTTCTTCTTGTTTCACTGGCACATCTTCTTCAGTGCTCTCCTGCACTACTTGTGCAGCAGAGTCTGATGCCAGGCCTGAAGCTGACCCCCCAAGTGGTACCAGATCTGTTGACCCCATACGAGATAATCCTACACAGCCCAACAATCCCTCAAACCCTGCTGGCAACCAAAATTCTCCTCCCACAAATGCTCAGATGCCAGAATCATCCAAAAGTGAGATGTTGCTCAGCAATGGTCAGATGACACCTAATCGCCTGAGCCTCACTGTCAAGGTTAGTTTGCTTGGCTTGGTTTGTGACTGGTCTGTGTGTCTAACATATTTCAAAGATGACCCTGTTTATTGATACAGGGCATCTGCAGTACATTACTGTATTGTATTCATGTCTTATTAATTAGGAACAGTTTCTAACATACATTTGATATGCAGGAGGTGTGGAGCCCTGGTGGTGAAATTCCTGTGCCACTGGTGGCATCAACCCCACAGCCTGGTGGTAGCGGGGGTGCAGAGGCCAAGTACATCACTCCTCACCATTATATTTCCTCCATGCGGGTGGCATCCATGAGGGGTGCAGCCGATATGGGCGGTGCCCTTGTGGCCCGTGTTGCTACCTTCCTCAGGACACAGTACAAGAATCTCATCTCCACACCCCTACAACTACCATGGTGCCCGAGCTTCAAGTAAGAACCTCCCTCTATTGTCAGATATTTTTTCCGTGCAGGGGCCTCACTCAACCAGCTTGCCATACTTTACCTGCTAGTTCTTTAGTTTTATGGCCATTTTTGTCAAATTAAGTCCTCAGTAATTTAGATTCTTGTTTCACATTGGTTCCTATGCTATCTTGGTCTTTCTCCCAGTTATTTTCTCCTCTTAGAGGGTTAATCTCCTATCAGGTGTATCCACATTGTATAAACCTCATTTGCAAGGTCCTCCTTCTTCCTTTCTATGACAGGTCCCTCTCCCAGGTGTCCTATCCCATTTTATTCCCTTTCCCATCAGCATCCTCCAACTCTCCCAGCTGGTTTACAAAATAACCTAGGTTCTTCTATTTTGCAGGCTTCTCCTGATTAATGGAAATAGGTATTTAGTAGCATTGTACGTAAATTTTATATACAAACTAAAATCATCGATGGCATTCTTTATGTCCGTCATTAAATTTTTCCATCGTTTCAGAATGTTAGTGAGCAACTTTGAGACGAGCCTGCTACAGGTGCCCCTGGCTCCCCATCTCAAGGTTCCACCAGGTCTGCTAACAATACCAAACATTCTGCAGCCTCATCAGGTTAGTCATGGAATATCATTGAACTGTAAAATGAATCATTATTGTTGTCTTTAGTTGACCTTTAATTATTATTATGTCACTGTATAAATTGGACTCAGCCATATCATTAGTGTATTTCTAGAAACAGTCAACCAACTTGTGATACATTAACTGTAATTGTTAATCATGTTCCAGTAAATATATCTTAAGTCAAGCATAAATTGACTCATATTTGTTCATTAGCGTAAAAACTATAAGTACATTACAGTATTGTGTTACTACTTAATTTTTTTAATAATTTGCAAATTTTGAAATAAAATAGACTCTTTGCTTTTAAGATTAATGTCAAAATTAGGTAAAAGATGAGAAGAATTAGATATTTATTCTTTTTTTTCGTCTGTTATGCAAGAGACAAGCAACAGGGATATAATATCTGTATCTCTCTCTTTCCATTGTGATAAGTAAAGAAGAATTTCCTTGAAATTTGGTGTATGAATGTACAGTAACTCAACAAAATTTCAGAATAACACCAATTTGCATTTTCCTTTCATAATTTAGAAACTTTTGTCCATTTATCCCTGGCAACAGGATTCCCTAGTTCCTTGCAGTCAACTGTTAGAATATTCTCCACAGATTGTTTGTTTGCTTTTCATGTAGTACTGTATATTATAGTGATATGATTGCTTTGTTAGTTACTGTACAATACTTGTGTTTTAGAATAAAGTACTTTACAGTACTGTGTTTGGTTTATACGCTTTGGCACTTTTTTCTTCAAATAACATAGATTGAAGTTGTAGTCACAGTTTCCATCACATTATGTTTAATGTACACTTATAAAGTATTTCACTTGCCAAGAACCATCTGTTTTTATTCTTTAAATCTAGCAAGATTTAGGGTGTACAGTATGTAGAGAACATTACAGTACACAATACCATGCACTGTAGTACAGGTACTGCATGTACAGTATTAACAGTGTTATTTAGAACTAACTTTATGATGGCTGCTCTCAAGTTGTGAATGTACAGTATTTGGGCTCATAATTCTTGTTGTTTGCTGAAAATACTCAGTGAATGATATTTAGCTACAGTACAGGGTACATTGTACGATATCGAGGTACTGGTACAGCACAGCTGTACTATACATGTACTCTATACTGTATTTCATATTGTATTTTTTCAATCCACAACTTTTAATCAAAATAAAGGTCAGTGAAGCTTTTCATAGAAGTGAGTTAACTAAAAAAAATCACATACTGAACTGTATCTGGATGAGGAAAATTATGAAGTGATGATTTATTTATTTTTTTTTTTTGAGATGCCATAAAATTTTATCAATTTCTAAAAAAACCCTCTTATAGTACGTATACTGTAAAACATACAGGTCTACATATTGAACACATACATACTGTACTCTACAGTACTGTACAGGTATTAAGGTTTGGAACAAATAAAATTTTCTTTCCCAGTCAACTGTTGGAGATCGACCAAAGCGTGTCCTGGTAGAGGGGGACTCAGGGTATGGCATATCTACCCTCGCCCTTAAACTGGCATATGACTGGGCCTTTGACCCCACTGGCTCTTATCTCTCATCTTACAGGTAAACAGTTTTGACTGGTGGATTATGTTCTTTCACAATAATTTTTATTTACAGTAATTTGTAAAAATATAAAAATATACAGCCTTTAAAAATCAAAACCAATGTTGGCACAGCATAATTAACTTTTTAAATATTCTAAATATCTTTAATTATTTCAAAGGTCATTAATAAACACTAATTACTCGAATTTTTAAATTGTGAACCCAGATCCTTAATTTTAACAAAAACCTTTTTATGACTCCAGTAGCCGAAATGCAAGGTATTTTTTACGTCAATCGGCAGTTTTTGGGAAAGTGAAAACTCTCATATTTTTATAATAAAGAGTTTATATGTATATAAAGTTTATATGTATATAAAGGTGATTTAAAACATATGGGCACAGAGGGGTTGGCTAAAACAATTTTTTTTACCCAAAACCATTGTTAGGAAAACATTTTTGTTTTTTTTTAACAAAATACTGTTTTGTTTTTGTTTTAATGCTACTGAATTTGTTGTTTTTATTAAATTTTAAGTATTTTTCTCTTTATATAACTTTTTAATATGCTATTAATAATAAACATTACATTCTGGTTGATTTAGGAATCATTTATACTCTTTTTCCATCTAAAAGCATCACTGTAAAAAGGCCGTATTTTAAAAACGTACGCTTTGATCAGTCACCCAGACTCATCCTACATGCTTAAAGGCAAAAACTAAGTTTAAGTTCATCTAAGTACTGTTGGAGAGAGATGGGCAGTGGCAACTTGGCTCTCCTGGACCCATATAATACATGATCTGAACACATTAGAATCAGAGGCTCAAAACACAACCAAAAACAGAAGCAGTCACCAGTTGTACTGAACAGTGGCAACTTAGCTCCCTGTAAGAAAGCTTATTGTCACCACTTTCACCAATGTATAATTATAGTTCACATGCATGTATATATTTAACAACCACGGGAGTGTAACACATCTCTGTCTCACTCACATTTATTTCAAATGTTTCACTTTCATTCCCATTTACTCTTACTGTTGCTCTGCTATTCTCATAGAATGCTTTTACTGCATTTAATAGCCTTCCCCAACCCCATATTCTTGTAATACCTTCCATAATGCTTTTCTGTTCACCCTGTCTTACATTTTTCCAAATCACTAAAACCATATGTAACCAACAAAATACTTTTTAAAACCAATAAAAAAGGTATAGATTAAAAAATTTGGGGGGGTTTATACCATTGGTTTATATTGGCCAATCCTGCAGCTACATGTGTGAGCAGACATGTCACTATGAATATGTTTATACATGATTCAATTTAGATATGAATCAAATTTGACCGATATATATTTATTGGTACACACTTAAGAAATTACAGATTGCTGTACATGTACTGTACAGTATTATTAAAATTGCTACAGAGTAAAAATGATTGATAATAAATACTTGGGCAACAACAGAATGAACATTTTTGCTTAATGAGGTCCTATCTGAACCTCCAGTGTGTTACTGAGGGTACCCATGGAGTTAAAGCACTGTTTAAGGTGACATTTGTTGATGCGCAGCAGCTGTTTAGAGAACTGCTCGTGTATTTATTGGTGTCAGGATCCAACTCTCTTACTTTGTCCTCTCTTGCTTTATGTGTGTGTTTATTCAAATCAATATTTCAATCCTGTTATGCTAATTGTCATTAATTGTACAGTTCAGTATTTATATGTTTCTGTTTACTGTACTGCAGCTTGGTGTTTGTTCTCACATTGCGAGATTTTCGAGGCGGATGTTTGTTCTCGTACCTGTGCAAAGAGATTCTCCCAAGACACATATTAAGTAAAGAAGCAATGAACACTCTCTGGAACCACATGAAGAAAATTGAAGACAAGGTGAGAGTACAACATTAATTGTCTCTGGTATAAGAGCTATGTTGATTACCTGAAAAGAACTACTGTAACTAAACAATCTTTTATACTGTATTTGCTTGTTATCATTTTGTAAGATATGAAAATAATGTTTTGTTACAAATTTTAGAAGAGTAGTGCAGGTAGTTTGGTGATCCAGATGTAGAATCTTCAAAGTCATGTTGTCTGCAGTATTTTAGTACAGTACAGTATATTGTAAAATACTTTCCCCACCAGGAAAGCCTTAAACATTTGTTGGATCTCCACCAGGTGCTTTTTCTGATTGTTGGGTATGATGAGTTGAGTGAAGAGGAAAGTGGGGACATCAATGAGCTGGTTGAGGGCCAGATGTTTGCAAACTCAACTTTTGTCATCACCTCACGCCGTGGATCCTCTAAGCCCATTCCACCAGTGCTCCATAGACGGCTTTTCATTGCTGGACTTTCTCCCGATCAAACACATAGGTTCATCTCACGGTACTTTGAAGCAATCAACAAACCAGGAAGCGGAAGTGAGGTAAAGACTCCAAATGGACTTAGTTTCTCCTCATGAAATTAATTTTGTGTGAAGGATGTTACTTCTTTGTTTAAAAGAAATTAATTGTTCAATCTATGAATCATCTGACAGCTTGAAGACAGAGCAAGTTTAGTATTCATTCCCCCTGAAAAATTACAAAATGAAGTGCTTCTGATCTGTAAATTTGTTTGTGCAGTCTGTCTTTTTATATGATATTCACCATTCTTTTTTTTTCATCCACATGAGGTTAATTATATATTCCTTGACATATGTATATGAATGTATAATCTTACCTCACTGAACTAGCCATCCTCATCATAAAACTGAATTTCAGTTTTATTTATATGAGATCTAAAAAACAATTTATCACATGCAAATTATTATGAAGTGTTGGAGAATTATGAGTCTGAAAGTTTTTCATTGTTGACTGTTTCCTCTTCAAGGTCCTCTCTCTGATCGCTGCAAGCCAGGAGAAATATGGAGACCTGATCACCTGCCCCGTTATGTGTTTGGCTTTGGGAGTTCTCTATGAAGACTTGGGGGGTAAACTCCCTTCCAGACTTACAGATATGTACATGTCTCTCATAAAGTACATGATCAGGAAGAATTTGATCAACAGAGGGGAGCCAATGTGCTATGATGTCTTACCTGACAAATACAACAAGTTGTTATCGGTAAGCAAATAAAGACGTAAACTCGTATTTTTTTGTGTGTGTGTGTGTGTGTGCATGCATGCGTGTGTGTGTGTGCGTGCGTGCATTGTGAAAGTAATAGTAGTGTTTTCACAATTATTGAGGTTTACTTTATTTATTTATGGATAGGCAGGCAGGCAGACCTTGACTCTATTACTGTACATGATATCTGGACATTGTTATTAACTATTTGTATACTGCATTGTTTTTCAGTGTGCTCATGTATTGTGTATCATGTATACTATTTCACTGTCAGAGTAAACTACAGTATTAGAGTCATGTCGTTTTCCAGTCATCTGTCATAGCATAACCTAATCTAATCTACCTGAAGTTCCAAAGGTATTTTATATCCCTGTACTATACACATTTGTGGAAGAATTTTGCATTTTAATAATTTTTCAACTCGGAGGTAAACCACTGTACAATAACTTGCTCTAAAGAAAACATCTGAATAATTTATAACATAATTACTCTTGCAGGACTTTGGAAAGATGGCTCTGGAGGCCTTGAAGACAAATGTTTCATATTTCACCGGCCAGGATCTGAAAACCAAATGTCAGCATGGAGGAGATCTAGTTATTGATCTGGGCATTTTACTCAGGATGCAATCCATGTCAAAACTGACCAAAAAAGACCACTACACGCCAGTTCATAAGTCCTTCCTGGAATTTTTAGGAGCTTTCTACCTATCGGGACTCATACATGATACCTCATTACTACAAGCAGAAATTGACAATATTGCAGAGAAGTTGGACATCACGCACCCAGTATTGAGGTATGAAGTATTCAGAGTAGAATTGCATTTACAAATTTGTCATCAAACAGTTCACTTTACTATTATTTTTGCTTTAACACTTTTATGAATCACAGGCTTGTCCCTAGTATTACCTTCAAATTTGAAAGAAACAAATGGACCCCTTCCATTTGTTGATATGCTTATTATGAGAAATGGTCACAATTATAAATTTAAGGTGTACAGAAAGCCTACACAGGTAGACACTTTCATACATTTTTTATCGAGCTACTATGAGTCTACCAAAATTTCAGTTTTTTCTGCTATGTTTTTGAGATGTTTGCAAATTTGTGTCTGAATTTATTGAAGAAGAACTGCAACACATTCAGTTCATTGCACAAAAACTTGGCTACCCTTCATTGTTTGTTGATCAGTCTTAAAAGGGCAAAAAAAAAATCCCGTTATTGAACTCATACTAGACAAGTTCCTACATTGAAGAATATTTTGACTACCTTATTGCAATGAATTTGTCCCGTTAGCTCAATCCCTTAAATTACTAAACATTGATGTTGTTTTTAAGTATGACTCAACTATTACTAGTATGTTAATTAAGAATAGCCCAACCTTAATATACAGTTTTATAGGTTTACTGAAATTTTTTTTGAGACAGGCAAGGGAATAATTACTCCTTAAACTGTACTCAACCCTGAAGATATGAATTACATGAAAGTGCTTGGGAACTTCCTGTTTTCTTGTTTCCTATGTGGTTATCAGCATATACTTGGATCATGTACACCTACAGTGATTTATTTGCAAACATAGTATATTAATACTTACTTTACTCTTTGCTTCCTTAAACCATCAATGTGTGATAGGCTGTTATTGCATTATACAGTACTGTAGTATTCCTTATCTGTAAAACCAATACTTCACAGAGTAAATGTATATACTTGTAGCACTCAACACACGGGTAGCTGGAATGCAAACTTTTAATACTTGTACTCCATAATGTGAAAGACCAGCCCCTTTGTTGGGTGGGTCTCTTGTGACCTGCCTCACCATGCATGTTGAATGTATCATAACTTTTCCTGTCTTGAAAAAAAAAAAGATTAAGCAATACATTTGCTGTCGTTAAATTGTTCTCTTAGTCTTACTAGAAATATTCTGCACTACTGTTTGCTTCAAAACAATATTTCACTACAGTACTGTATATATAAAAGTGGTGTACCCTTATCACTTAACACAACCAAAGATTGCAGATATTATTAAATATCAGTTTTCCTCTTCTCTTTACAGTCATAATTCTGGTTTGATGGTGCTGAAATATTTGGTTGGATTGTTGGGAAGAAATGCTCACATTATCTTCAACATTGTGTCCCAAATGGCTGTTCCACAGAGAATACTCTTCTTACTGCTCAAGGAGAGTGGCATGTACCAGATGAATGTCCTGGAAGTGAGTACCAAACACTGAACTGTAATGATGACAATATAATTATATAGAGTATAATACTGTAGTATTTATGGTAATGATAACATATATTACTATCCAGTAATATTGATATTAGTATTATTAGTAATGTACTGTGATTTCACTTTGTTATTTCACTTTTATGTGAAAACTTTATTTATATCAATCTTGCTTTGTGTAAGGAAAATTAGTAAATACTGTACATGACTGGGTAAATTGGACACACAAAGCTCGTGTGACCAGTTTGGATACGTATGAGGCTTGTGAGGTCTTGTGGATGTTGGTGGAGCAGTGAGTAGGTAGCCACATTGGGGCAGCCTGCACGCTCCCTCTGTGTTGCCTTTTCCACTGTTGTATGTGGACCAGCGCTACTATCATCTCATCTTGTAATGCAAGGATTTGTCATTACTGTTGACTGTTGCAATGTCATCTTAGCAAACTCCTATTGCATCTCCTAACCACTCTTTATATCCATTGGTGAATGAAGCAAAAGAGAACTGCTTTAACAGTAGCAACAAAATTAGAAATAATAATGTTAGCTGAAGCAGGTGAGGTGCTTCTGCACTTGATTGTATGTTTAGCCTTCGGTAGAGAATAACAATGGCAGCAAGTGAATAGCATTAGAAAGGTAATTAAAATAATTTAGATGTCATTGGACATGTGATTATACAGATATCAAATTGTGGACAACAGATCCTTAATCAGCATGTTCAGGAGTACACTTTGAGATTTTGGACAAAATCGGTGGGATCAAGATTAAGGCCGAAAACACCTTTTCTCTCAGAATTTAAATTTAATGTGTCTAACTACTGAGGTACCTGTACATCCAGAATAACACATAAACATCAAAAAGTTGCCTTGAAAAGGTAGAGCACAATATGTGCCATTAATGAGAAAGTAAAAAAATAAAATAAAATAAAAGGATTTCAGTGATGCACTCAACATTCATTTGTCAAAGATAATGACAAATTGTAAGTTCTCTGCTGGAAAAAATGGAGATGCTTGGAATATACTGTATATTGAGGACCAGACTTGAAGGAAAATGGTTCATCTCAAGTGATTATTTGTCCCTGTTGATTGCAAGTATCCAATTAGATAGCTGTTTTATTTCTTTTATTGTTTATTCTTTACATAGAATATTTTTATTTTCTCTGGTTTTTACTGTATTATGAAATATTGTAGTGTGATATTTTTTTGGGGGGGGGTGGGTGGGATGGTCAGTAGAGGTCTTGGAATGCATCCCTTTTAAAGACATGTTCTAAATTGCTCTCTATGCATTTTTTTCCTTAACAACCCTTGCATTAAGTGAGGGCCACCTGTTGTATTATAATGGGGTAAATGTTACAGTATTAACATTATCACTTCTCCTATTTATTTATGTTTAGTATTTATTTATTATTACCTTTGTTTGGAGAAAAGAGTTAATGGCCTCTAGGATTGAATTTGACAACTGTATGGATTTTAGTTTATTCTTCTCTTGGTGTCAAGACAAAGAATTGAATACTGGACTATATGATTTGCTTGTTAAACAGCACAAGGAGACAAAAGGTGTTTATCTTTAGATTTAGATTTTGATAATTGGCATTACAACATTACTTACCAGGTATTAGCATGTTAAATGAAGTTTTTCTTGATGTGAATACTAGTATAATCTTACATTAGCATGTTAAGGTTACGGTATGTGGAATCTTGAGTACAGACGATTCAGCTTCTTTATTACGAACGTACAGTTGTGTATGATCGGTATTTGCTCTTTTTTCCCCTTTTGCTGCTAAGGAACGAGCAACTAGCATGTATCAGAAGAACGTGGTGGAGGTAAGAGTCACCTGCTTTGCTTGTCATGGCTTTTTACATGTTAATTATTCTCCTCATGTTTAAATCAGTTTCCAGCATTCAAAGTATGGTGACACTTTCTGCATCTTGCTACACGTTACACCTGTAGACTGCCCTCATACCAGAAACAAAGATGTGATCTTGAATTTTGTACATTGGCTTGAGTACTGTACCATGTAAGTTAGGCAGTCATCACTTGTTTTAGATACAATGTTAGTGAAGCGGTTGCCACTTATTTTCCAGTCGTAAATAAGAGAGTGTAAGAAGAATGAAGATTATTGTATACTACACTGTTGGAAGATAGAGTGAGATAATAAATTGAGAGAGATACTGTAGCTATATAAAGCAGTAGAACAATAGCACATATGAAGAACAGTGTGGAGTTTGACCCTGTGATTAACATGGTGAATGTGGCCAAGAGAAAAGGCATCAATATGAGGAAAAACACTCCTCTCACAGTTAGGCATCATTATATGGATGAAGTTAATATCATGTCAAACATCACTGAAAAAAAGAAGATAATTGGTGTTGTCAAGTTTCTTATACTGTATACCTTAGAGATTACATGTATCTGTTTCCTCAATTCTAAGATGCTTATAGAGTACCGGTACTTTCATTGGGTAAGTGAGTGAGAAAGTATATAATGAGACAATCCACATTTCTCAATCTTTTACATATATATTTTTTTTCCATATGTGCGGCATTAGCTGTAGTTAGGGTGTGTCAATTTAAGTGTGCAAAGTGAAGAATTTAGAGTTTCAAAGACTACGAGTGACTAAATTATACTTTCTTATGTGCTAAATCGAAATATGGCTTCAAAATCTGGATTTGACCACCTCTAGCTACTGATATTTTGAGTTGAAATTCAATGAAAAATTTGCAATTTTTGCATATTTTTGTTGTATATAACGACATTTTATCAGGCAGACTGATTATCAGAAAGGTTTCTTGAACTTTACCAGGGTGTCTATGTCTTCCTTGCTCCTGTTTCTGGACATGAGCTCCCTACTGGCCACATGGCCCCTGATGTATGCCTCCCTCTCTTTTGAGTAAACATGTAGTGCTGCTTCAGTTGTCATCCTCACACACCTCTCTACTGACTGTGTGTGTGAGGACCATGAAGGAACTTCCATTGGTCTATCCAGAAACTCCATGATTGCAGCAGTGGTGAGGGAACAAGTCAGAGGAGGCTCGGTTACTCCAGAGTTACATTCAATAAGCTCCGAGAGTTTGGTGGCATCTGGTTTGACGTCAGGAGTCCTCCTGGGTCTAACACTACAAGTGTGTGTATCCTCATCTCCTTCACCTCTGATTTCCAGTATCTTTTTCACAGCTTCCCTCCTCTCCTCCTCCACCTCACTGCGCATCACTATTCCTCCCACCTCCCTCGTCTGACTTTTGAGCAGTTTTAGCTGGTACAGTACACGCCTGGGGCCCACCACCCAGCTGTGATTTAACTTGATGTTGAACCAGTTTGGCATATAGACTCCCACTATGAATTTCACAATTATCCTCAGATGTTTGAGGTTACTACCCTTCAGTCCATGTTTGGAAATCCACAATCTGCAGAACCTTAGAGCAGTGGTGAACCACCTACTGTGACAGACTGGCCCAATCTCCAGGAGAACTAGACTCTGAGTTACCTCTCCTCATCTGATGGCAGTGATGATTCTGTAACCATATGACTGGTCTGTGCTGAGATCCTTGACTACCTCCTGAGTGAGATTGGGTAGAGGAGGACCAACATTGATCCTCGTGAAGTTTGGGTTGATCTCCAGTTCAGTGGCTGTGTCTTAACATCTTCCCTAAGGGCCCTGATCACTTATTGTTGCTCAATGTCTTTCCATCCAGTGCAGTCACGAGGTGTGAGACTCAGCTCCCCACGTGAGCTTGGCCTCCACATAATGCATTACTCCTCCCTCCCAGCCAGTATTCACATTAGTGCTGTCACCTCCTATGGCCAAAAGGATCTGATCTGCTCCTCTTTCTTTTAGCCAGTTCACCAAATGATCAGCATGAATTCTCTTCTCTCTAGCTTCCTCTGGTACAAAATGCCACAAATACTTCCCACCTGGTTCATTGCACACTGTGTATTGTGTTTCTTTAATGATTCCAGGAAACTGCCTGTCAGTTCTTTCAGCTTCCATCATCACTTTGGTGTCATCAGTTCTCCCATCAAAGAAGATACAGGTGATGCCATTTTCCCAAATCTCTTCATCAAACTTCTTAGCCAGCTCCTTAGTCAGTCTCTCCTGAGCCCTTTTCACCTTTTTGTGATCAATCACCAGTGCTGTCTCAGACTCTGATAAGACCAGCATCAATCCAGGCAGCAATGGCAATCTCTGCAGTCTCTCTCAGCCCAGTATAATGTCTCAAGCTAGCCAGAGCTCTGTTGGTGATATTTGCAGTGTTATATCTTCTTAGTCACAGGCAAGGAAGAAGTTGTTGCAGCCTCTGATATGAAGACTTCGTCCTCTTCCTTACCTTCTCCAGTGTATCTCCAATCTCCTCCATCTCCAGTAGTGACTCCTTTTTCAACTCCTCTTCTTTCTTGGCTGACTCCTCTGCCTTCCTCCTCCTCTTCTCTTTGACCTTCCTTTTCTGCCGCTATCTATACAGTACTGCTTCCTGTCTCCTGATCTCAGGGTGATCAGCTAGACCCATCTGGTGTGACCCAACACTACCCCACCTTTTCTCTCTGACCTCTGATGAAGGCAAGCTCCTGCACTGGAATCTTCTGCTCCTTCCTTTATCTGCAGTCAATGTAAACCTCACAATATGTACATTGCGAAGTAATCACAATCATCAAAAGGGAGGGAAAGCACATGCATAGACACATTGATATACAATCATAGTCATATTTAGGTTATGTATCAATACTTTGTAGCCAAATATAAATACATAGGTAAATGGCCTTTTCAAACAACAAAAAATGCATTTCTAAGTTTCTTATATAAAATGACATTATTTGAATACAGTACCTGTAGTATTTTAACTATTGATTACTAAAATTGACACACCCTGAATTAGTATTTAGCATACTGTATTCTACTGGAGTACTGTACAGTATATGGGTACAACAAAAATGAAACATATACTGTAATACAAAAATCCAGAACTGAATATAAGTATTAGGTTTAAGAATATCTGGAGTATTAAGATGAGATCATTAGTCAATTGTAATGTAAGTTGGAATGTGTCAAGTTAAAATGTTGCATAAATGCATTTGGCATCTTACCTACTTTATGATGTATGTGTGGGTTAACTTTGAGTGACCTTTGAAATCCTCACCATTATAACACACCTTAGCAGAGCTTACCTTTGCTAGAGTGTTTTGACATGTTTAACAGCATGATACACTGTCCAGTTGATGAAATGGTTGTTTCGGCTCCATTCGTCTTCTTTTCAGAGATCAAAGTTCTCGCATAATTCAGAGCACCTGTGGACATAAAAGGAAGCTTGTATTCTTGCCCTCTTGGTTCCTATTATGACATGATCAGTTTGTTTATTTACATTATTTGTTAATAATTAGGGATGTTTATTTCCCAGAATTCAGATTTACCATTGTTATTTATTAGATACAGTAAAGTACAGTGTTAAATAAAGGTATTGATTCACTTTCAGCTCACATTTTTTATGTATTGATTTAGACTTTACAGTATTTGATCCAGCGAGGACTCGGAGTTTGTATTGGTTAACAATGATGATAGTTTAACCTCATTGTTGTAACTGATAACATTAAATAAAGTTAATGTAAATGGTACATGAATACATTAGTGCAGAAAATAAAGATAATTGTAATATAATGGTATTAAATTTGGGGGCTATCTAGACCAGGTGGTCTATCTTACACCACAAATGCAGTTGATATGAACCAATGTTTATGGCTGAAAATGGTTTGAATTGCACGAGTTTGCATCAGGGTTTCAACCCCTGACATGAAGGCTCACTTGTTCTGAGACAGCCACTGAATTAAATACTGTAGTATTTTTCATCAATCTTAATTCAATTAGGTGGGAATACTACTGTATTCTAATAATGAGGGTATTAATTATCTATCTAGATAAGGTATCCTAACAGTAGGCAGGCTGTCTTAGTGGTGAGGATCTCTCAGATAACTTGTTTCTTCCTCTTGGTCATAAAATGGGATTGCATCCTTCATATTCTTCATTTCTATGAAGCAAGTGAGATGGTCAAAATCTGTGTGTTGTTAAACTACCAGCCAAATGGATGTTTAGGAAATTTTCATGTATAAAGTTAAATGTTAAGTGAGGTCCTTTATAGGGGTTCTTATTTATTTAATAGGTATGCAAACATGTATCAGGAAGAGAGCACGTTGTAATCCAGACAAATTCAGGTGAACTTGAAGACTGGGGTCGACTGTTGTATTCCCCTGATTGTATGTTGGAAGGTGTTGAGGTTCTCTTGGACTTTGATGGCAATTCCAAGGATAAGCATGAGTCATTCTTCACATCCATGTCCTTCAATGAGAGCGTCAAGAGTGTAAAACTAACATGTGTTGTTGGAGGTGACTTTGGTGAGACAGAGGTAAGGCACTGTTATATCTCTGTTATTTACACTGCTTTATGATCAGTACTGTATTTTATTTGAGAATTTAGATACAAGTATTTTTTTTTCTTGGTTTACTACTATTACTTTTTTTTCTTTAAGGTATATTAAAATTTAATGATTATATGTATAAAAAGTACAGTAAATAGTGAAATTTTGAATGACATTTACAATACAATAAGTTATAAGCTGATATTTTAATGCAGGTTACAAGATTAGTGTCATATGTGCGAGCTGTCCTGACAAAACGTCGCTTGGAGTCATTTGAGATCCAAGTTACATCTTTGGAAGAAGCAACGGCAGAAATCCTAAGTCCTGTTGTGGAAATGATCTGTGATACACTACCAGACTTGGCACAAGCCCTCAACAAGCTAGTTGTGGCTCTGGAGCTGGATGGGAAGCAGGTTGGTACTGGAAATTTTTTAAAGATTTCATTTTCATTAATGCCTTTTTCAACAAAGTTTACACCCATTGTTTAGTGTAGTATGCAGAACATATTTCTAATGTGGTAACTGTATTATTTCCTATCTCCCAAACTGTGCTATGTTTATTCAATATTGTAGTGATTTTTTATTACATTCAGAGCCTTTCTGAAATATTTTACTTATCAACAAAATCTTCTCTCCTCATTGCTGATGATTCACTATAGTACTGTACTTGAAGCATCCAGTATGCTCAAGAATTTTGCATGGTGATATAGTTCTTACTCCAGTAAATTACAAAAGAACTTTGTTAATTTGTCTCTTGTAAGCTTTTATGGGCATTTTAAATAGTCCCAATTGAATTATAGTTTGTTTACAAACTTGTTTCTCTACTGATTCAGATATGTCACTATAGAAAGGATATGTGTGTACCTCACTAGCTGTTCCCTTATCCTTTGGCACAGCCCAGGAATTTGTGTTGATATCTGAATGCCTAAACTCTTTAACTTGTTTCCTGCAAGTATTAAAAACATTAGCTGGAGACCCAAGGAGGTCTTCAAGAAGCAAGTTGAGAAGTTTCTTCATCTTTTCCTGGTCAATCTGGCTGTAATGGTTATGCATGTTACCAGTAATGTAATGTAACAGTTTGGTACAACATTTTCTCCCAAAGAGCTTGGTTACTGACTGAACTGCCTGAAGCAGAAGCCCCTATATTTTATAAAATTTTTAGGCCAAGTATGGAGGGTAAAGGTCATGTCCTTTTTACATTAGCCATAAGGCTGATGATGGTAAATTCATTTATACATAGAACCAAACCTTACATAGGTTTTAACACTCAACAGGTGATGCAGCTGTGCCAGGTCCTACAGATGGCTCCACAGGTGCGAGTGCTCCATCTCCCTCATTTGGCATGTGGGCTGGAAGGACTTAAAGCTGTAGCACAATTAGTCGAAAACAACCCTCTAGTATCCCTCAATCTAGCAGGGTCACTCAGTTCAGGTACTCCGGTAAGTTTATGGAAAAATTGTTTCTCACTCATTAAGGTTATAAGTTATGTCATAGTATATACTGTACAGTATATTCTCGATTTAACAGAATCTGTTATAATGGGAAATTTTATCAAAGAAAATGTAATTTTGTGAAACATCAGTTTGCTCTATACAGTATTTGTTTAGACCAATTCAGAGGGGTTAGATAATAGTGATCCTATGACTTTTTATTGTTTATTCAGGTACTGTAGTATATGTGACATAATATATAGATACTATGTATTGGTTTGATAATGGTTAATATTCTGAACAGGTGGATGAAAGATCAACAGGAACAGGTGCTAGTACCCCCTCTCCTACCCGGGAAGATGCTCCAGCTCCTCTCTCATTTTGGAGCTTCACTGATGCACAAGGCAACACTCGCTCAGTCTTCAATTCACTCCCACGTTCCTTCTATCAGTCACTTCCAAGACGGGGTCGACTGCACTCACTCTCAGCGGAAAAGAGAAACTCTGATACGACACTTTTGCAGAAGACCTCATTCCCTCCACCAGCTTGTAGTCCATTAGTTCACTCTAATGGCTTCCATGAAGTAAATCAGTTATTTCTGATTATTTTGTGTGTGTGTGTGTGTGTCTTGGAAATTGTTAATTATTGATATTCTTGTTAATTATTGATATTCTTGTTAATTATTGATATTCTTGAAAACATCAGCAAATATAAATGACAATTTAAAAATGCTGGAGAGTAAGAGTTTTTAGATAGATATTTTTTCTCTTTCAGATCTTCTCAGCATTCCGCAACCCATCTTCTAGAGTTTGTCATTTAAATATCAGCAAATGTACAATGGGGGCCGAGGACTTAGTGTGCCTTGGGGAAACTGTTCGCTTTACCAAGTGTCTCTCATCTCTGAGGATGGAAGGACTCTCAAGAATGGCAGAGATTATCCCAGTTCTCATAGCATTACAGGTGCCTGTGAATAATTTTTTTTTTTGTGTGTGTGGTTTTCATAGTTTCAGTAGTTTTTAAAAATCGTTATTGGCAAACTAAAGTACTGTAATGTTACTTTAAATATGGGTAATGTGTGTAATCCAGAGGTGGATAGTGAGAGAAAGGGAGAAGATGGAGGAATGGGGTGAGGAAGGGACAGTAAAGGGAAATTGATATTTAGGAAGCAGTCGCATACATGAATGATAGAAAACCATGGCATCAAGTTGCTAATAGGGATGTTATACCAGTAAGATTAAATTCTAAACCCTGACTTAAGATCATCCACTCTTCCCTTACCTCACTCATCCTGATCATATTTCACTCATAATGACTTCATATCACCTATTCTCTATCTCATTCACCTAGATCTTGTGTTGCTCATACTGAGTCATAAAATTTGCTTAAAATATTTTATTTGCACAAACATAAAACATTTTTACATTTCAGCAAGTACAGTATATTTGCAAATTTTGTCTTGGGATTTCTTTGTGTAAATGTATCAATTTCTTAGGTTATGTCCACTGGTATATCTCGTGCATGTGCAGTAGTTTCAGGCCTTTCAGTCTCTCATTCCCCAATGTTGACCTGAATGGTGTTTTATTCTTTTCAGTCCACTGAAAGATCTTTCAGCAGAGCATGTTGTTACTGGCAGGGTGCACAGAATAATGAACGGGGCCCTCACGTTGGGGAACATGGAACCTGGTGTCTGGGAGAGGGTGGTGATGAGTGTAGTTGAAAGGCTGGTGGGGCCCTTTTCTTTGGCCTTTTTTTTTCCCACCTGACATGCCATGCCTCACTCTTGATACTGCCAGGAGATGGCAGGTCCTCCCGGTAGAGGTCAACCAACTGTTGTATTCTTCTGCTGCCCTCTGCTGGTGTCAGGGTTACCAAGATGGATGTTACCAAGATCGATGTTACCAAAATGGATGAGATGACACTGAGTCCCTGGAAGGCCTTCTGGTGCAGGGAAGTGAGCCTCATCTCCAGCTCTGCCATGAGATGGTCTCGGAGTGGAATGGCCACCATTCTCCTGTAGTATTCAGCTGGTCCATTAGCTGACATGTTGTCTTGGTGTTGTTGGCATTTGCAGAGTTTGGGCATGGAAGGTGTGATGGTGCCCATCATGTTCTTGATACTAGTGATCTGGATGGACTTAACAACAGCTAGGTTGAGGGCATGTGATGAGCTGCTGGTAGAGGACCAAGGGGTTGGTCTCCTTTATGATAGCTGCTGCCCGCCATGTTGCCAGCTGGTTGTCACCTTATCTGCTGTAATTCTGCCAGTTACCACATTGTCATAGTACTCCAAAAAGTCCACTAGGTCCTCTCTGATGTGGTCATTAGGGTCCACATACCTCAACACCTTGCTGAGCTGCTCCTTGCAGGCAAAGACAGTGACCTCATCAGCTATGATTGAGAAAAACTTGTTTTCTTCACCTTCTGAAGGATATGGCCATGTATCTGTTCCCCACAAATGTGAATCAACTGGTTCTGGATATTCCAAGATGTGTACAGAGCATTCTTGGCAGCTTTGCCTAGGTGCATACCCAGAACCCTGTCTCCAGCCTCCACACGGAAGTCAAGGAGGGCCAGAAATTTGCTATGATTGGCAGTCCCATCACTGGCAACGTCCTTGGTACTGTCTCTGTAACCTCGCAGAGAAATTTTCTGACGGCCACAGAGGATAAAAGTCTTGATGCTGGCCCAGGGAGGGCGTTTCCGGGCTACCAGGAAACCCCCTCCCCGGGTGTGTCCCTGATTCCCACTCTGTAACAGAGGGTTGGGGATAGGGAGAGCATGCAGCTGTAAAAAAAAATGCCTTTGCCTCTGGCAACCAGAACACTATGCTATTAAGTAAACACGGCTAACCCTCACAAATGTGGAAACTGTCTGTAAAACAGTGAGGATGATTTCAACCTTAATAGTCCTGACCCTGTATTATTAACACTGATATTACATTGTCCTTACTTCAGATTTTGTCATCCTAATAGTTTGCTATACAATACTAAAACTTGAAATGTAAGGTAGGAAAATGCATCTGTTTTGTTTTTATTTCAGGAAAATACCAGTTTGCAGCTTCTTGACCTGACATCTCCTCACATTCTCCTGGGTGATGCTGCTCTTCATGTCACTCTAAATGCTCTTGCTAGAAACAAGTCTCTTAGGTTTCTTGTACTAAATGGATGGACAATTCAAGTAGAGGTAAGTTTAAAAAATAAAAATATAGTGGTTTTCATTTCCTAGCATTTATTAAGAAACAATAGTACTGGAACAGGTACAGATGCAGTACTGTACAGTTACAAAAGTTTTAGAATGATAGATAATGCACTTTCACAACTGAAGATCAATGTAAATTATTGTTACACCATCTTATACAGAAGGAAAGTAAGGGCACTTTAATTTCTCATAAAAATTACACATCAATATGCTGTCTACATATGTTACGAGCAATGAGGAGATAAGTCTCAAGACTCCCAACATCTGATGGTTTGTCACATACAGTAGTTAAATTTTTTTTTTAGTTATGGTACATTTTAGTATTTCTAGAAAGATCAAATTGAGATTGTCAGATAATGGATTACACAGCAGTTCCCAACTATTTTGTGATATTATCCTCTTACAGATCCCATGGGTTATAAATGTTGTGGAATATGTACCACTTGTGCCTATTGTGAAAATGTATTTATATTTCAATCCCAAAATATTCCTAAAAATCACTCACCCCCCATAATACAGCAATTAATATTTTCCATTTGATATCTTAACTAAACATTATTAAAAAGCAAATGACTCGGCCATACTGTATAAATGGAAGAAACCATTGAAAAAATGGAGCGTGTTTGGATATTGCTGTTTCTCTCTTGTACACAATACAGTGTACAGTAGATAATAATTGATAAATTTTCATATCCATAGATAATAATAGGTGACTGTACAGTATTAGACAACATCCTTGATACAAAGTCATGTGAAGCAGGACCTGTAGTCACTAGATTGAAGATAAGATATATTTATAGCCGATTGTTTCTGAAACTTTATTTATATCTTACAGAGTGAACGATCCTTGAAAGAGTTAATCCAGTTCCTGACAGTGACAGAGCTACAACACCTTGACCTGGGAAGCTGCCAGGTGATGGTCACAGTACATGATGGACCTTTGGCTCGTCTCTCGAGGCAGGATGATGTGATAGCTGCACTTCAGGAAGGAGTTCCCCCTCTTCAAAACAGCACCTTGGCATTTATGAATCTTGATAATTTTGAGGTACTGTATAGTGTTTTTATACCCTTGATTTTAATTTATATTTTATCATACTAACGGAGGCATTCATGTACAGTGGTCCCTCGATTAACGAACGGTTCAATTAAAAAAATTTTGTTTAACGAATTAGCTCCCATAAGGATTTTCAGTTCCATTAACGAACAAAACTTTGATTAACGACAACCTTACGAGAAACACACTTTGTTGTGCACATCAGCTGATCAGCTGATAGGCTAGTCTGCCAATACAGTAATTGGTTCTATGTTTACATTCATTTCCAGTGGAGTAAATATCAAGAAAGTTGTGCTCTTGAATATTTTTGCATTTTTTATATTAAAATTATTGGTCATTCTGAAATTTAGTTAACATATTGATAATATATACGTACAGTACAGGGAACAGTTTTTGTGTGCCCTTCAGCTGATCGAATCACCCACCAACGCTTCTCAGTTTAACTTTGTTTACAGTGGAGTGAACATCGAGTTTGTTGGTCTCTTGAATATTTTTGCATTTTTACATGAAAATTATTGGACATTGAGATTTAGTTAACATATTGATACCCGGTAATATACAGTGCAGAAATTATTATGAAACATGAAGAAGGCATTAGAACCAATGCACTCTGTAAAGAATATGGCATGTCATCATTGACTGCCTCTACAATCAGCTGTTTGATATGTAAACAAAGCTGCCAGGAATACGACATACACACCTCAAAGTAAGTTAAAATACAGTATTCTATTGTTTTTTATTTATTATTGTACAGTATACAGTACAGTACAGTACTGTATTTAGTTTATATTTAATGTTTTGTTAATTCTATTACCGGTATACAGTACTTTGTATACCGGTATATACTTTTTCTGTGAGTTGGAACCAATTACCCAATATCCCATTGAAATAATAGATTCGGTGAAAAAATTTTTTGATTAACAATCGACTCTGTGGAACCAATTGTGTTCGTTAATCGAGGGACCACTGTACTGTACAATATGTCATTCAAGATAAAAAAAATCACGATACGTCAAGTACAGGGGCCCCCCAAGTTTGCTGATTTTTACTTCGTGGTTCTCGGTTATTTGTGGATGACATCCTGGTTGTGCCAAGAATGTCTGTGGGTAGTTTTAAAGTTGCCGGCATTTTTGCGGCTGGGACAGGGAGCCATTCTTTCTAGAGACAGTAATTTCCCTTACCTGTATTGTAAATACTGTGCGTCTTATGGAGCAGGAAATACGGTACCCAAGTATCAAGTTTTTAACAACAGATCCTTCATCAGCACAGTATAAGGATCACACGATCAAGTTGCACCAGGAGAGTACTGTGCATTAAAAAGAGGTTTAACCTTGGGGGCAATTTTTAAGGGAGTGTCTGTGAATCCATGGAGTGGTAGGTGTAGCCAGAATTAAATACTGTATATAAATGCGACAATACGCTGTGCTGCTTAAAGGTTTAAGTTCATAAATTATAATTATTCAAGCAAGGTTCTTGGTAATCAGTCGGGTAGATGAATAAACAGTTTTTGTAGAAGCAATGCTATCCTGTTACTGAGCACAGCCTTTACCCTGAATAATTGCAATCTCTTTCTATGGCCACTTAGTAGTTATTTACCTTGCAAGTCTCATGTTTCATCCCCCTAGCCAAAAAGTGGAATTTTTGCCCTGATCCTCCACTTTTTCTGGGGTTTTGCGGGTCTGGTCATTAAATATGTGTTGCGAGATATTTTGCATCATCTATTTTCAAGAGAAAATATACCTCTTACTCAAGAAGAAAAAAGAATTGAGCTGGATCTAAAAATTTTACAGCCTTTAATTTCCTCAACTATTTCAGGTGACTTTGAACAATAAAGTTGTGTTAAGGGGACCACAGCTGCTCTTCCTACTCAGACACTTCCCAAAGCTTGTTGATGTTTCTCTAACATCCAGTCTTGGGGCTGATGTGATTGATGATGCTACAACACACAGACTCTTCTCTCTCTTGCCTGGATCATTTCCATTCCTGAGAAGGTTAACATTGGGTGGTTGGGTGTTTTCTCTGGACAACTGTGAGAAGGTAAGGTATTTTATAAAATTCAGAATACATATGGCTTAAAATTTTATACAATTTGTGAGATGTGATGTATTTGGAAACAACTTAGAAATAATCTGGAAAATCCTTATCTTATAGTACAAATGTATTGGCAGGTAATGCGTGCTGGAGGTAGACAGCTTCGAGGTAGTCAGCTACGGGAGGTGTTATTGGGAGGAGTAGAGGTACGAGAATCGAGTGGAAAGCCTGGCATGGAGCACACACTCCTCCAAGCCCTCACCACCAACCTCCACCACCTTTCTCTCCTCTCCCTTGCTGGACTTAAACTCACTCCAACTCAGTCAGCTCTGTTTGGGAAGGTAAGTTTAGTTCAAGTACTAACTTATATTGTACAAAAAATTTTCTTGAAAGTTATATTTTAATTATTAGGTGAAAAAGCTGCATGAGTTTTTGTAGGAATGAATTTAGTGATAATTATATTTGTATTCTGCTAATTAATTAAGAAATACAGTATATTTTAATTGAAGGTAGGGGTAGTCCTTGATTACTTTAGGAAGTTATGACCCTGTGGATTTGCATTAGGAAGAGCATCCAGCCATAAAACTTTGCCCATAACCTGGTCTTGGCTGTATTTTCTTGGCTGGTACAGTACTGAGGTTGCAGTGATGAGTGAGTCAGGAGGACATCCTGTTTTGATGTTAGCAGGTAATCACCTGCTAACCCACACAAGTATGGAAATTGGCTGTGAAATGTTAATGGTAATGATGGTGATGATTGTAATAGAATTGTTTAGTTTGGGAGAGAGAGAGAGTGGGAAGTATTCATATGCAGTAGCTCATATGTCTTGGTTGGAGTTCAGTTTGGCCTAATTTCCCTTCTGTCTCTACCTTCTTATATCCTGTTCTGTAAGGCACTTGTTTACACCATGAATAATCTCTGAAAAGACACAGGTCTGCTGTTGTTGGGATTTGGGATGCTGTACCAGTGTTCTTGGAGTTTCCAGGATATCATTGATTCACTTAAAATAAGGGAGAGTTGTGAAGTCAGTGTTTGGTTGGAGAGTTGTGAAGTCAGTGTTTGGTTTAGCATCACATTCCATATATGCAGCAAAAACAAATTTTGCCATGATTTTATCTATTGTCTGCTGGGAAGTTTCATCTGAACTAAGGTGGGTGGATTGGTTCTAGAATCAGGGCAAGTGTGTTTACTAACTTATAAGATACTTGTTCTTATAAGACATTCTGCCTCTAGAGAGAATACCCTTCACATCTAGTCTCTCTCATTTGAGGACAAAGGATATGATACGGACGGATGAGTAATATTAGATGAGCTCCCAGCTGTCAAGGGGGCAAGGAGTGATGGACTACACCCCAATCCCCATTTTTTATCTTTCAGACACTGCGAGATAAATTGGCATCATCTACCCTTGAGCTAGAGACCCGGGGTCTGGGATATGCAGCCATCAAGGCTCTGAGACAGGCGCTCACAGATGGAGGTAAATTTGAGTTCGAATTTCTTGGTGGCCCATCAGGCACTTACAAGCTGAAAAAGATTGATAGGAGAGAAAAACTGATTGGTAAATGGGCTTGCATATCCACTCTGGATAGATTAAGTGAACTGTAAGATTATGTAAGCACGTGAATTTTAAGGAGGCTATAATCTACATTATTAATTGATAGGAACTATGTTGTGCATATATTAGACTTTCTACAAATTAACAGCAAGTGATCATCTGAGGTGTTCATACTGTACATGTACTCAGTGCTAGATGACGGACACTTGTGCTAACTGTTATTCATAAGATCTTAAAATGTGTGATATATTGTTAACAAAGTTGGATGTATACTCATTAACATGGAAATGAGAGTGAAGTTGATGATACTCTAATGAAGATGATTACTGTTAATGGCAGTTCACCAGTTTTAGCCTTTTTTATTAGTGAAATTGGCCATATTGTCTTAAATTTGAGAATTTATAGAATTAAAATTTGAATCAATTGACAGTTATATGTGATTTGGTAAACTAATATTAAGGCATTGTCAGAACTATATGGTAAATAGCAGGACTTTATGGCAATGGTGCTTTTTAACCCTGTGCTTCCATGCAGATTTTGCCTTATTCAGAAATCTTAGGCAATACAATTTTCATTTATTTATTTTTTTTTTATTTATTTTTTTTTTTTGACAAGGCACATGGACATGAATCATTCAAGTTGCTGATGTGCTGAAAATGTTTTTAATGTAAATTGAAACAGTTTACATCTGATGTTAGGGTATTATTTGACAAATGGAAATATTATTATTTATTCGTACAGTAATTGTCATTGTGCTTTTCCCATCACTTGACAGACTACAAACTGTATATATTGATACTACATGTACTGTACAGTGATAATTCCCCCGTGTACATAGTTTTTACATATATTTTAATGATCAGGAGAACATTGAGGTAAGCTATATTTGATTTGTTTGCTGTAAAAGCTATTATACAACCCTCTTAGTTTTCAAGTATTTTATTTTTTCACCACAGATGGTAAAATAGAATAAAAGATATGCTTTTTAACAGCAATAGAGGGTGTTATTAATAAGTACTGTACAAGTTTCACTTGTTATTTTGTATATACAAATTGCAGTTATATTGTATAAATCTCTCTTATCAAAGAGTCCAGTTGTCAATTACCTAAAGAAAGCTAAATATTAGATAAAGAATTTTGTGTAAGTCACTCTGAATAATTTTCAGCTGCAATTTTTAGCCCTATGAATGTTTATTTTCAGAATACAATGAATGTTTTGTGAAATTACACAGCCACTTTTTTCTCAGCTTTGATGACATATACAAAATTTTTTGTTAAAGAAAATATACTTCCAGTGTAGAACTATATACTTCAAACTATAAGTTATAAGGGATTCATGTTATCTTTTCCTGAATAATTTGGGTGTATTTAATATTGTTGTGAGTATACCATGTCCACCCTCTCCTTTGTTTATAGCTGGGCAGCACATGAACAGTGTTTTATAAAAATTATCATTACTGACCCCAGCTACATCTTCAGCAGTGACATTAAGAAAATAATTTAATGTTGGTTAAGCTATTATATAAGTGAAACAAGTGACGCTTGCTTGTACTTGGAAAAAACGTTGGAAATGGAATATAGTGCTTTATTCGCAAATAAACTGAAATGGAACAATAAAAGTAAAGAAGCATGAAAAGGTGAAATAAGTAAGAGACAATAATAGAAATATGAGATACACCGCCATGTGTAATTAAGACAACAGAAGAACCATCCATGGACCATAAGGTGTAGCCTGTTTAGTTTTTTGAAGTTGTGCATCCACATTCAGCATGTGTACCACCTACCAGGTAAGTGTTTTGAGCCTACGTTATAGTCAAATTAATTGTACTTTATATACATGTTATGTATTTGTTTACTTGCTAAACCCAGAATTTTGTAATCAAGGCACTGATGTTAAACACAAATTTCCAGGTAACTTTACATCTCTGGAAACAACCTGGTTTTCCTTCTTTATCATATTGATAAGTGTTTATTATGTTTTAAGTACAGTATAATCCTCCCCCCCCCCATCATTTTTTTAGGAACTTAGTCCAGTGGTCATGAATTAAACCACAATGTAACCTGTGTGTTATATATGTGTACAGTACTGATGCAGTTGTATAGTCATGTTGCCATAGTCATTCTTCTCTTCAGGTTTAAAGCCACAATTATATAGTTTAAGCATTTAGTTTTATCTACTTGGGCCAGGGTAGATGACATTAAATTAATGCTCTAACAAAAATCTGTAATTAAAACAGAACTTATGTGGTGGCTATAAAGGATCTCAACTACAGTAGTGTGGCTGATAGCAAAAATACAGACACCTTTCTCTAAGTTCTGTATAGGATATACTCAGTTGGATATGAGGTGTTCATTTGAACAGTTTAAAAAAAAACGAATGTGAAAGTTACATACTGTAAATAAAGGATTGCAGCATTTTCTTTTGAATGATAGGGTAGAATTTCTTTTATCCGTAGACAAATTTCCAGTACAGCTAAGCCTTACTTATTACAATATGCTGTGTGAGAGAATTGTTATTGCCACTAGAATTCTATTTGCAAAACACAACGAGTTACAGTAAGCTTTTTTAATAGTACTGTATGGTGTACTTTAAATAATAATCTGAAGTGAAACTTCTTTCCCACGTTAAGCCCCACACAATGTTTTTAAATTTCTGTGACCATGACAAAAGTCACATGGGATCATTCACATGAGATCAGGTCATTTTCATTTTGCGGCCAATTTATCCCACAAGAAGTTTATATATATATATATATGTATGTATGTATATATATATATATATATATATATATATATATATATATATATATATATATATATATATATATATATATATATATATATATATATATATATATATATATATATATATATATATACTGTAGTATATATTTAACAAAATTCTTTTAGCTGCATCCTCAGCTTTATGAATACCAATCTTTCTAGGCTATCTGATCCATTGAATGATTTTCCGAGTTAATTTTTTGAACCTCTAATGGTGCAGTATATGACAATTTTTTGTTACTCTTTTATTTAAATATGCTAGATATGTAAATTACAATAAAATGGAAAGAGAATCCCAACAAATAAAAGGATCAAGTTTATTTTACTATCACTAGTATGCATAAATACTTGCAGTAAACTCTGATGATGCAGTGAATTCAATGGCAACCATAAGAATTATAGAAATCCCTAGTGCCTCTAGTTGTGGTTTTTAACAGTTGATGAAAGTCAATTTTTCTAAGCAATTGTTACACGTTCCATCAACACCTTTATTCCACTCTGTTGCAAAACCATTTTATTACTGTATACAGTATGTATATCCTTTTTCCAATCCAAAAATTAAATTTAGGTGGGGTGTCCATGCAACCAGTTAGGTGCTTGTATATTATATTTCCAAATACGTAGTGTAATGCCCATTTCCATGTTAAACCTGCTCAATACATGCACACACCCACACATATATACAATATATATATAGACAATTTTGGAGGGTTGAATATTGAATCCTCTTATTACACTAAGCTCGTTGTTTCTATTTTTACCTGTTCTACCCCTATATGTTTTGGAGTTATCATATATAATAGAGGTTATTATATAATGACTGATATGGGTAGTTGTATGTTTAAATATTAGTGTATTTTGGTATAAAAATTTTTCTTTATTTTTCTTCAAGCGTATTTGTAGTGTTTTGACTGTAATGAAAGTACAATAATATCATTATCTACAAAATGTTACTGTACATCATGTATCTGTTAATTAAAAAATTACCTAAAAATTTAATAAAAGTGTCAGAGAATTTTGTATTGATTTTACAAGTACTGTATATCTACTGTACATCAGAGCCCATTAATATTTACAATTTGGTACAGTCTGAGATAAACAAGGTGTTCATATGGAGCATCTCATCATTTATTAGTAGTAATTCTGGATTCTATAAAAGTTAACTTTATTTGTGTTGTAAATATGTATCATAATGTTTTGGTAATTTAGTTCTGCAGAGTTACATTTGCATAAGTGATGGATTATATACTGTAGTTTTATTTGTTATCTTTATTTTATATATCAACAGTGAACTTTTTTTTAATTCATCTTATTCCAAAATGTTTCACTAGTCATTTGCATTATCCAGTTTTATACTGTATTTCATTCTTCTTAAGATTGAGGAAAAATTATTTTTAAGGAGTTACTTGTACACTGCAGCCATTTTTGTGTACTTTTTTGTTTCTACATTATTTGGTTGTAATTCATATTGTTTTTACTCCTGAATGTAGTTGTAAAGTAATTGCCCATGTCTTGTACATATCAGTTTTAAGTATAGCATTATTGACCCCACAGTATTCCTCTGGTTGTGCTGCGCCCCATCCCGTGATACAAATAAATGTTGAGAACAAACTCAGGTTTTATTATTCTACTCACTAATATAGGATCTAGAACTGCTTTCAACTACAGTGTTTAGGAGCTAGTATCAAGTGACATTTCTTAATAAATTAAAAGGAGACAATTGGGATCATCTGAATATTTGCCCCAAGCTTATTTCACCTGAAGGTTAACCACCTTATTTAACCTAACCAAGCCAAGACTCCAGTTCCTTTAAATTGCAAACCAAGCTTAAAATTACTTCACCTAACTTTACTTAGGGAACCAAACCTATCTTAACCTTATATAACCTACCGTATATTGTGGCCTATAAGCTGACCTTTGAAGATCCATTTGTGTTCAAAACTAGGGGTCATCTTATACAACAGGTATAAAATGTCAACCTCTAAGTACGCTCCACCACTAGCATCAGATTTTCACTTTACCTTACTAGTAGGTCTCTGTCACTTAATTTCCAGAAGGTTAACTGTTATTGAACTTAGCCTCGGGTCAATGTTTACACTAGTCATATTATGGGAGTCCCTGCACATACCGACACCTTTCAAAACATTAAAATATATTTCGGTGTTAACTGTGGTTTCTTGGAAACAAACATTACTAGGGCAGTTACTTGTAATACTGTATATGTTGTTTAATTGCTTAATGCAATTAAACGATGCATCCCTGTACAGTATTATTATACTTGGACATTTTGGTTAATGTCTCGCATAGCAACGATTAACTGGCTTAAGTTTCTTAGAACTTCATTTGAGATCCATAACCTCATCCTATGATAAGCTAAGTATCTATCATGAAAGTACTGTTAGGAAAAAAGTGTTTTTGTAGGAGAGGGGGGGGGGGGCAGGGGGTGGAGAGGAGGAGGAGAAGGTAAGCCTCCATATTTCCAGTAAAAATTATTACCCTTAATTATAAAGTGTGCAGATAAGAAATTTTACCACAATAAAGTCAAAAACATAAAGGGAATAAACTTTCTTAATAATTGTGATTGTATTCTTGAAATATTGAAGATTATTATATTTTTACTCGTGCCAAACAAAGTACACTATCACTATAGTACAGCAATATGTAAGTACCATTATTCCCTGGTTATAATTTTTTATCTTCAACGTAATAACTATTGAATGCTGTACAGTAACTTCAACCATTAAATAAGTTTTTCCTGGCTTTATACTGTAGTTTGTACATAAGAATACTGTATTGTGTTTTCTGTGTGAATAATATATCAGGGGATGTTTGTATCTTGCTGTGATATACCTATATGTCCAGCATTATCCAATTGTCTGTTGACATTAGGATTGTTTAAGTTTTATATTACTTGCCCCGGGCAAATGACTTAGGAAATTTACTTACCTGGATAGTTTTTCTTTCCTTGTACCCAAAAATTTTGGAAGAACTTTGCTTGTTTGTATCAACTCCCAGATCCATTCTGAGAGAAAAGTATATTTCAGTCGAAAAATTACTAAGGCTTACAATTTCCGTCAATTTCGGTCAAAAAATAGATTTGGTTGAAAATCTCAGTAAAAGTAAGGTACTCCTGAGCATGTTGATACCGAACATATGGTACACTTCGATTGCAGGGAAATTAGTGGGCGTAATGATGCTTGGGAGGTCCAATGGGAGTGCCGCTGCCCCTGTGAGGCCCCCTTGGGGCGCCATCACCCCTGGAAGGGACCTTAGGGGCACCACCGCCTCTGGTAGGGTGCCACTGCCCTTAAGAAGAGCCCCTGGGGGTGCCACCACCTTTGGGAGTGCCCCTGGGGCACCAGCATTCCTGGCAGGGCCCCAGGGAGCATCGCTGCCTCTGGCAGGGTCCCAAGGGAGGTCCCCTGAGGGCGCTGCAGCCTCATGGCAGTCCTCTGGGGGCGCCGTTGCTCCTAAGGAGTGCCCCTGGGGGTGCCGTCGCCTCTGAGTGGGGCCCCTAAGGGCGCCATTGCCCCTAAGTGGGCCGTTGGGAATGCCCCTGTGGGAGCCACCTCATCTGGGAAAGCCCCAGGGGGTGCCACTGCCCCTGGAAGGGCCCTTGCTGGCAACATCGCCTCTGGAAGGGCCCCTGGGGGTGCCACTGTTCTTAAGGAGAGCCACTAGGAGTGCTACCACTTCTGGGAGAGCCCCTGGGGAAACAGCCACCCCTATCAGGGCCTCAGGGGGCAACACTGCCCCCGGCAGGGCCTCTGGTGGCAGCACCGCCCCTGGAAGATCCCTAAGGAGAGCCCCTAGAGGCGCCGCCACCCGTGTAAGGGCACCTGGAGGCGCCGTCGCCCCTGCTCGAACCCCTGAGGGTTTCTGGGAGTGCCGCTACTCCTATGAAGGCTCCTTGGGGCGCTACCGCCCCTAGAAGACCCCTAGGGGTACAACCGCCTCTGGGAGGGTCACCTGAGCACACCACAGACCCTTGGGAGGTCCATTGAGAGAACCACAGGCCCCTGGGAGGTCTCCTGGAGGCACCATTGCCCCAAGATGGGCTCCTGCAAGAGCCACCGCCTCTGTAAGGTCCCCTGGGGGTGCTGTTGCTCCTAAGGAAAGCCCCAGGGGCGTCGCTGCCTCTACAGAGAGCCCCTGGGAGTGGCAATGCATCTGGGAGGCCCCTGGGTGCCCCAACGCCCCTGGAAGGGACCTTTTGGGTGCCACCGCCCCTGGGGACGCCGCTACCCCTTAGGAAAGCTCCTGGGGGTCTCCAACGCCCCTAGAGGCGCCACCGCCTCTGGGGGCGCCATTGCTCCTGGGCAGACCGCTTGGGGCGCCATTGCCCTTGGGCGCTGAAAGTTTTGAACTCTTAGCTCAATCTGCTAGAGAGCATTGTGATAACACAGAGAGCTCATTCAAGATCAGACTTGACCAACACTGAAATGAAAACACCATGACTTTGTTTCCTTTAATGTTCCTTATACTCTACAGTACTACAAATGGCGTATAAAAGTTACAGGAGTCATTGCACCTCAACAATGTTCAAGGTATCACCATCTGCTCACAACAAAGTAATGTGATAATATTTTCAGTATTATATATATATTTTAGAGGATTAAAATTCAGTTCACAATACAGGTAATGTCCAATCCAAAAGTAATTTGAGCAATATTAAGATACAGTATTAGTTATGTTTTATATATTTGTTTTGTTATGAAAGAAACGAACAGTGAAGTACTGCCAGTACTCTAGGGGGTTAGATTTTTATTCTGAAGTAAAATCTAATGATGAGTTTGAATACTAATGCTAAATGCCTTTATTTTGTGCTCTTGTAATTTTTTAAACCAATATTGAAATGATTACTACTTAACACTTGACTCAATCTGATGAATATAAATTCAATTCATCAAGCTAGTAGATGAAGATATAAAGAATTTTCAAGAGATGAATTTAGTTTTGTTGTCATGAAAATGTCTAATATACATTTAAAACACAAAAGGTGAAAAACAAAACTAGGCTTGATAATGTGCTAGGACAAGATGAATGAAAGAATGCATAAAGTAAAGCTATACATATGTAATACAGTATTGTCAATGTACTATATACTGCATAAGACTTACAGTCTTCAAGAAAAACATTGTTTTCTTAATCAACTGTGTAACAAACTGGCCCAAATTTCTGTGTAATGTACGGGTACCGAAAAGATACAGCATTTGCAGCATGGGGATGAGAATTTCCAAGGCAACACAGGATCAATGCAAACTCCACCTCTGATGCAGACGTGAGCTTGGCCAGGAGAGCACCCGATCTTATGAAGGCAGCATAGGGCTCATACAGGCATCCACGCTAAATGAAAAAAAGGACATTCGTACAAACACACTTGAGTGGACATAGACAGAGCAATATATTCACTAGCACTCGTAATATCTGTTTTACAATTTATTTCACTTCCACAATTGTAAGCTATAATAACACACTTTTGGGAAATATCCTTTAGTAGGTAGTAGGTAGTAGGCAGCTACCAAACAGGGAGGTACTACCGCCTGGGAAGATATTGGAAGCATAATATATTGTCTAATGGTAGACCCTGCTGTCATATGGCATCACAAAAATTGTGACCAAGTCCCAGGTTGCTGATCTGACTTTCTGCCTCATTTACACACAATTGCAGGGTCTCAATTGTTTCTCTTACTATTGACAACACAACATACATATATCGTTTCTCACTTTTGATCTTTTTTCATTTTTGTATTTCATCATTATTATTATTATTATTATTATTATTATAAGTGTTATTATTATGATCATTATTATTTTATTTTCAATTTTGTATTTTTTATTATAAATTTTATTTAGGGATTATTATTATTATTATTACCACCATTTTATTAGTGTTATTAATAGTATTATATTTTTGCCCCCCAGGCCCCAATGTGGGTCAGTGACCTGTGCCCGGGTGGGCTAATCCCCGTTAAAAAAATAAAAATAAAATAAATAAATACAATAAATAAATAAATAAAAATAAAAAATAGATACTGGCACTGCATCTATTTCTTTTTCTCTTTACTCAAACTTAAGATTACAGTGATCCCTCGGTTAACGAGCGCCTCGGTTAACGATTTACCTTCCATAAGATTCTTAACTTCGGTTAATGAGCAATCCCTCGATTAACGAGTTTTTTACGAGCCGACTTCAACATGTTTTCGCTTGCATTTGGCGGTCCACCAGCTGTAGTATTAGTCCGCCAATACAGTAATCGGTTTTAGGGCTTAAATTCCTTACTATTTTAGTAAATATCAAGAAGTTTATACTATTCAATAATTTTAAAAGTTTAATATTAACTTTTTTAGTCATTTTAACAATTATTGAACATAATTGAAGGTAAAGAAACTAGTTTCTGGCGTGCCATCCAGCCTGTTAACACACCAGACAGGCGTTAGTCTCTCTGTTTTCAGTGGAGGTAACATCTTGCTTGAGACTCTCTTCAACTAAACGCTTTTTTTCTGTGTTTCCAAGCAAATTATTGGTCATTTTGAAATTTCTTTTACATATTGACAATATATAATGCAGTACAGTGTTGATTTAAAGAAAATAATCTTCAATTACACCAAGAGAACTAAAATTTTATGGGTGAAGTGGTGCCATGGGGTGACTTCTCTTCCACCCCAATGCCTTCTCTTCTCCCTTCTCCTCCACCCCCATTCTAATTCCCATCATCATCATCATCATCATCCAGGATCCTTCTACATACACACCTCAAAGTAAGTGTACTTTTCTACCTTTTTTGTTGAATTTAGGCAATTTTCGGTGAGCTGGAACCAATTACCCAAAAACCCATTGAAACAATGGTTTCAGTTAACGAGTTTTTCGGTTAACGAGCAACCTGCTGGAACGGATTGTGCTCGTTAACCGAGGGACCACTGTACTAAAGTTATTACTTGTGTACACCACAATACTATCAGTATTCGTCACATTTCATATGTGAACTATTGGTCCTGGTGTAGTCTGTAAGACTGAATAAAAATTGGTCACTTCGTGATAAAAGTCTGAAAGTTGGCACCAACTTTAAGATGTCCTTGAAAACTTTCAGACATGAAGCCAATTTCAAATGCACCCCCTTCCAACAACCACTGATAGGTAACCATTTTGCCTCAGCAACAGATTATTATATAGACCTAGAATTATGAGTAACATGACATGTTTACATCAAAGTACTGTATAGTATAGTAAAGCTCTAGGGAACACCACTAGACTACTCACAATCTAAGTGAATAGATTAAATTGTCAAAGTATGTCTATGTTATGATTCTTACTTCTTTAAATAGTCACTAAAATTTCAAATGTTGTTAAACTATAAATTAAAAAAAGAATGAAATTTATTCAGTAAAATAAAAACTAAATACGGTATTACACAGCAACTACTACTGTAAGTCGAGGTAAAAAAAAAATCAGACCACATGGCATATCATAAATTACATAGCTACAGTACACAGTCAAGAGTAAATGTCTTTTTTCACCTTATTGTAACTCTATATAATTTTTACCCCTTCAAATACTGTATGTTTATGATATAAACCTAGTACAGTATTGAAAATCTCATTAAAAGCACAACAGTTTCCATCAGTCCATAATTAGTACAGAACTTAGTCATTAAATATTCCAAGACTCGATAACTTCATGTGTGTGTGTGTGTGTGTCTCACCAGTGGATTTGCTTAGGTTTGAGGTTTTACTGCTAAAAAGAAAGGAAAATGAAATGATGAAAACTGACCTACTTAATATAAAATTAAATGCATATTCGATACACATATGAAGTAATAAGTGTTTATCCTTTGAGAGTAATGCACGGTAATACAAATCATGCAAATTTGCACAGCACATGTGCATGAATGCCTATCTCTCCATGCAGTAGGTTTATTTGCTGATAGATCCTCAACATGAGAAAATTCAATAATATCACTAACATTAAAGAAGCTGGCATTTGCAAGTGACTGCAAGATATTGCCCCCATTCAGTCCCACATGCTTGATGTCTGAACCCATTAAATTCTAATATATATATATATATATATATATATATATATATATATATATATATATATATATATATATATATATATATATATATATATATATATATATATATATATATATATATATATATATATATCCCCAAGTTACAAGTTAATTGACTTAGAAGTGAAGGGGTGATGATCAATTGATCAATTGTTAATTATTTGCAAGAGGAAGAAAAATAGGTACAAAAAGTCTTATCTCCGCTTTAAAGGTCCATAGAAAACAGCATCTCCCTTGGACACCTTAGTACTGTACAGAACATGCATATGATAAGATTCCAGTAACGAGCATGGTAAATTAATAAAACATTCAGCTCGGGTTATAGATTTATGTTAGCATCCTTCTAACGTAACCAACTTTACCGTTTACCTCTAACCCTTCTCAGTATGAATACACTATGCTTTTGACTAGTCACATACACCTCCAATCACTTTAAACATCTTCTCTGGTACTTTGGGAGGACTCGGTTTTCTTAAACAACTTTTACAATGACTTCACTAGGACTGAACAGTGGTACTGCTTCACTGAATGCAAAGAGGAGGTCAAACCCAGTGCATTTACATTTAGCAAACCTGTGCTTTAGTTAGATCGATCTACAGCTAAGTTTCCTATTGAGAAAGTCACTCTTTTTTGCTCTTAAAGTGGGCAAGGCTTATGGCCTAAATAGTCCCCCCTTGGGTATAAAGGGTATGTGCCTTCAATGTAGTCTTTGCTTTTGCCCATCCATTTCACTTGTCTCAAATCCAAACTTTTCCTTCTAGGAAGAGAAGACAGCTTTTATCCTTCACGAATTGTTCTCATTTCAATCATCTCTAATGTCTTTCAAACCTCTTTCATTACTGTATGTCCCAAAGTAATATTCACTGGTGACTTTCTTCTGGAACCCACACTAAGTCCTCCTCCTTTATTGTGGTCCTCCACATCTCCAAAGCAAATGACAGGGCATGGCACTAGTCATTGTCTTCTTAACCTCCTTCCTATGGCTACTCTAAGTATCTCTGTTTTCTAATCCACAGTTATCTCTATTCTGCATTCTTCAACTCGTTTCCATTCCATGCTGAATTCTACTGCCCAGTCTTTCTCATGCCACAAACATTTACCCCTTTAATTTGGACCTGTGCAGAATATCCAGGTGGGGAAGCAGTAACAAAGTTAAGTTTAACAAATCTAAAAGATAAAATTTCATACTCTCCTAACCATTAATTCCCAAATTAAATAAATTCAGCCAATCAATATCAAGAACGTATTAAATATCATAATTTTTTTAATTTATTCTGGAAACCCTATACAGTATAAGTACACAACTTGGTAATACCTGCTTCCCCAAATGTGATGCTGTACAGATGCCACAATTGTTTGTTTTTTGCCTTTATTTGGGCCTCTTATACCCCTGTGTGAAGTAATGTTTGAATATATTGAGTTGTTGTTCTTCCATCTCACTGAATCCTACTATCATTATCCCTCTTCCAGGCCAATCAACTTGATGCAATTTTGTTTCTCCCTCTCTCTCTCTCTCTCTTCTACAGGTACTATTTTGGTAATAATTCTCAGAATTTGTGTGCCTTTGTGCTGGCTCACAAGACCTGGTCCTCCCCAACATAAAGCTGACTGCTTCTCTCACAAATATACTGAGGAGATAAACCATCTGTACATCATCCACTGTTCTGTAATGCCTCTTTCTTTCCCTCCACCTCCAAGCTACAAAATTTTCTTCCCTCTATTATTCTTCCTTTCTTTTACAACCTTTCTTTCTTCACATATCACATCTATGGCTACTTTTGTAGTACTGTATTGGTATGGCCTGACCTCTTTCACTTTAAATGTGGCTGCACTTTTGACATCTGCCTGTGTCATGTTAGTGTTATTTAAAAATAGAGTGTATGATATCACCAAATTAATTAATAAAAGTTACAAATTTTAATGTTTTTAACCCCTAAGCACATATGTAGAACCATACAAACAAGAGCAAGTAGTCACACGGTCGCTGGGTTGGTGACTTGTGTGGGGCTTTACTTGGAGGTCCCGTTGTCAGCTCTGGGGTTCATGGGTATGTTGTCGCTGATCTCCTCCTCTCCTTCCTCCATCAGCCAGTACTTTTCGTCCTCATACAGCTCCTCCGTCTTGAGCAAGGCAAATGGGCTCAGTTTTAGAACCAGGCCTGAAAGATATGCAGTTAAGAGGTACAGTACATCACTAATTTACAGTACTATGATAAAAATAAAGTATTTTTCTGTGATGATGATGCAAAATATTATTTCTCATTAGTAAAATAATGAAAACTGATGACGTGTGTTCTCCGTGATGATGCAAAATGTAACAATTCAATAACTTAACTGCTTTAATGACTGATCATACAAGAAAGTATTGCATCTATCATATCCAAGTGTATCACAGAGAATACCAAAGAGAGTTAAATGTGTGGAAAAATTTACTGTATTGCACCACAAAATTCAATTTATGAGATTTCAGTTTACGAATTACCCCACATAAGGATTTTCAGTTCTATTAACGAGTACAACTTCTATTAATGACAACCTTATGAGAAACACGCTTTGTTGTGAGCATCAGCTGATCGGCTAGTCCGCCAATACAGTACAGTAATTGGTTTATGTTTACATTCGTTTCCAGTGGAGTAAATATCAAGTAAGTTGTGTTCTTGAATATTTTTGCATTTTTTTATATTAAAATTATTAGTCATTCTGAAATTTAGACATATTGATAATATATACAGTACAGTACAGTACAGGGAACAGTTTTTGTGTACCCTTCAGCTGATCGAATCACCCACCAATGCTTCTCATTTTAACTTTGTTTACAGTGGAGTGAACATCGAGTTTGTTAGTCTTGAATATTTTTTGCATTTTTACTTTAAAATTAGTGGTCATTCTGAAATTTAGTTAACATATTGATAATAAACAGTGCAGAAATTATTAAGAAATACGAAGAAGGCATGAGAACCAGTGCACTCTAAAGAACATGGCATGTCATCATCGGCTGCCTTGACAATCAGCTATTTGCTATGTAAACAAAGCTGCCGGTAATACGACATACACACCTCAAAGTAAGTTAAAATACAGTATTCTATTGTTTTTTATTTATTATTGTACAGTATACTGTACAGTACAGTACAGTACTGTATTTAGTTTATATCTAATGTTTTGTTAATTCTATTACCAGTACAGTACTTTATTTGTATATTTTTTCTGTGAGTTGGAACCAATTTCCCATTGAAATAATAGATTCAGTTAACGACTGACTCTGTGGAACCAATTGTGCTCGTTAATCATTTGGTAATTTTCTGTTTTCTTCTGGATTGGACTGTGTGACTGCAACAAAATATAACTTTTATACTGTACACAGGTTCATAATTCTTGACCAACCAAGATCTAACACAATATGCAGAAGTTGTGCCATTACATAACTAACAATTATCCTTTGATGAGCCTTAACAGTTAACTCATCATCAGGATTTTATTATTGGCTGTCAACTCAAAAAAACAACAAAACAACATCAGTCTGGTCAAGAATACCGGGAGTCAGGCCAGCTAAACAGTACAAATTTCTTACCCGTGACAATTCCTCCAACAGTGGCTATAGCCAAGGTGATGATGAGGGCAAGAATCTGGTTAGCAGCCTGACCTGATGCCGAGAGGCCCGACCCAGCCTCCAAGTCAGGTATGAACTCCTGTAACCGAAGCAAGTCCTCTGATCCCTCTACAGGAGCTCGGGCAGGGAAGATCTGATACAAGCTGTGTGGCAGAAAGGAGAGCTCATGGTAGTCAGTATAATCACAAATGTACTATTACAGGTACAATCAGGAATAAAACAAAAGGTTTCACCCCAAATTTTCACTCATAGATGATAATGATTAGTGAATTGAAGACAATGAAGCTGTAATCAATAAAAATTTCTCACTACAGTCAAAAGATAAATACTGCACCAGTTCCTAAAGCTGCAAGTTTTCACTGTTTTCTTCTTAATATCTAAGTTTGTCAAGCCCACCTACCTGGGACCATAGGTGGCCTCCGTTGCCATGGCCGCTGCAACGCATCCGATTATGCCAGCCAGAATACCAGGCATCCCATGGAGGTTGTTCACTCCACAGGTGTCATGGATCCGAAGACGAGATGCCAAGAAGGGCTGTGTGGTGGAGAGAGTTATGTGCTGGATTCCACAATGAACTGCTAAAAAAGGTAAGGGACAATTGATTGTGATTGTCATTAAAAAACAAACTGGAATACAGTATAACATGGTTAATGAAATATATCAGAGCATGCAAACTTCATAATATATGCAAGAGAACACCACTGTATTTCACATACAATGTTGGAGGTGAATATTGATGGAGGAAATACTTACTGTATAGTACCCTGTAATCCAGATGAAACAAGAAAATGAGGTACAGTAACTCTTAATGAGTAAGAATATTGAGGGGAAGACAGCATGCATTCAGTACTACTCTTCTTACAGAGAGCTGTGGAGGTACTCACAGTAAGAAACATGTAGCCGGCAACGGAGATGATACCAGCAATCATGCCAATGAGGACGGCACCCCACGGGTGGATCATGAGATCTGCTGCGGTGCCCACAGCCACACCTCCCGCCAGTGTACTGTTCTGGATGTGAACCTGACCAGGAATTAAAGGTAATTTTACTTAGGTAGCTGCTGTCAAAATTCTGGAAGCTGGAATTAGGGATTAGGTTGGTTTACCTAACATGGGAACTAGAGGGTTCAGATCAGTTTACTGATGACCTGACCAAAGGAAAAAGAGAAGACTGACTTTGCCTACTCAGAGATAAGAATACCATATTAAATTCTGAAATACAAATACAAGACACATTATAAAACCTAATTCTACCTCATCAATGTCCAAAGATAATAGATTAAGAACAGAGAGAGTGAGCCGATACATTCATAATTAAGTCTGGGATAAAGATAAAGAGAGCTAATCATTCCACAGTAAACACCTAAGAAATAGAAAGTGAAGGCTAATTCAATCATATCAAAGGGTGACCACTCCAATCCCTCTAACTATCGCCCCATTGCCCTAACTTCATCTCTCTTAAACTCTCATTTTCTCTGTCACTTTGATCGCCTTTCTCTTTTGTCAGATTACCAGTATGGCTTTTGCCAGGCGAGATATACTGGTGAACTGCTCTCCTACTGCACCCATCTTTGGTCATCCTCTCTTAGCTGGTTTTCCGGCATCTTCGTGGTGTAGATTAATATAATCTTTTTCTTTTTTATTCTTAATTTCTTTTTACTCTTAGTTTTTCGCCCCCAGGCCCCATTGTGGGATGATGACCTGTGCCTCGGGGCTATTCCCCTTAAAAAAAAGTACTGTATGAGCTACAGATAAAAAACACAAATGGGAATAAATCTTACCATGTCAAATTTCTTTTCTTTGTGGAGGATGGAAGAGAGGGCGAAGGCAGTGAAGCAGCAGGCAGAGAGGGAGATGTATGTGTTGATGACGGCTCGATGCTGGTCGTCACCAGGGGCCGCCCCAGCGTTGAACGATGGCCAGTACAGCCAAAGAAAAATTGTACCTAAAGAGGAATGGAGGTTTAGGAGGTTCATATTGGGTTCAAAGTTGCCAGGAAATAGTTTTTGGGACATTTGTGTACATGTGAGTTAAGAAGTTGTTTATGAACCTTAAAATCAAGTCGTTTATGATCCTTAAAATCAGAGCCAAACCATTTTTTTTTTCGGGAATTAGCCCACCCGAGCACAGGTCAAACGACCTACAACGGGGCCAAGGGGGCGAAAAAATAAGAGCAGAAGGAAATTAAAAATAGAGAAGAAAAAGGTTAGACTGTGTTAATCTACACCACGAAGATGCCGGAAAACCAGCTTTTTAAAGTGAGGCAGATTGTATAAGTATGGAAACACAGAAGAAGGCAGAGCATTCCACAGTTTGGCTGTGTGAGGAAAGAAGGATGTACTATAACAGGTTATTCTAGTGTGACTGATATCCACAGAGAAACGGTGGGCACCACGGGTAAGACGTGTGTTACGAGCCCACGGCCTTGCCGGCGGTACACAGGATGCCAAATCCACTGAACATTGCCCGTTAAAGTACCTGCAAAAGAGAGAAAGTGAAGCAACATTGCGGCGAAGAGAAGGGAAAGAAAGATTATCAACTAAAGGAGGAGTTAGCCTTAAGCTAACACAAATAGTCTTCACTTAAATATGCAATGTAAACATCTTTATGCACATGGCCATGCAGATTCCCAAAACAGTATACAGGTACTCCAAGACTTACGACCTACTCAACTTACGACCACCCGGACATACGACCACTGCAGTCGTATAAAATATTTTTCAAATTACATATTTTCTAGTACCGAAACGTTTCCGTCCCGTACGACAGCGTGGGCTGGGCCGCCTCGTGGTGTACAGCAGCCACGCCTTAGCCCGCTCAGTTGGTGTTTGAGCGTCGTTGGCTTTAGTGATCGCGCTGTGTACTGACAAAATTTTTGTTTCTAATTCCCTTTAAAATGACTGGCAAGCCTAAAAGTGAGAGTTCTGGTGGTGCTCAGAAGAAAAAAAGACAGTCAATTACTTTTGAGATGAAAATTAAAATAATAATGCAATATGAAAAAGGAAAAACGGTAGCAACCATTTCACGCGACCTAGGCTTCTCTCACTCGACGATATCAACAATTTTGAAGGACAAGGAACGAATTCATGAGGTAGTGAAAGGATCAGCACCTATAAAGGAAACAATAATAACGAAAAAAAGACAAGGTCCTCTTCATGAGATGGAGAAATTACTTGTGACGTGGATGGAAGATCAGCTGCAAAAGCGTGTACCCTTAAGCCTTCTAGCCATACAGGCTAAGGCAAGAAGCCTTTTCGAAAGCCTGAAAGAGCAGGCAGAAGATGAGTGCAACCAAAACTTCACAGCAAGTCATGGGTGGTTCCAAAGGTTGAAGAACCGTTACAGTTTGCACAGTGTAAAGGTGAGTGGAGAGGCAGCAAGTGCTGATGTTGGTGCTGCCGAAGCTTTAAAGGAGGAGCTAGATCGTGTCATCGTGGAGGGCAATTATTTGCCTGAGCAAATATTTAATGTGGATGAAACAGGCTTATTCTGGAAGCACATGCCAGAACGGACATACATCCACAAAGAGGCGAAAACCATGCCGGGATTCAAGGCATTCAAGGACCGAATCACACTTCTGTTAGGGGTGAATGTAGCTGGTTGCAAGGTAAAACCCTTCATGATATATTATTCAGAGAACCCAAGGGCTTTTAAAAATGTCAGCAAGCACACACTTCAAGTGTTTTATTGCAGTAATAAGAAAGCATGGATGACCTTAGCACTGTTTGAGAATTGGTTCCCGAGTTGTTTCATTCAACGAGCCAAGGAGTATTGTCTGCAACAAGGGATTGCGTTCAAGATTTTATTAATTTTAGATAATGCTCCAGGACACCCACCACACCTGGACGACCTCTATCATCCAACCCATGGATCAAGGTGCTATTGTTGCTTTTAAAGCGTATTATTTACGTACGATCTTTACTCAGGCTGTTGCTGCTACTGAAGGTGAGAAAACGCTCAGAGAGTTTTGGAAGGACTACAACATTTTGAAATGTATAAAGAACATAGCCACAGCATGGGATGAGGTTACAGGTCAGTGCATGAATGAAATATGGAAGAAGGTCCTGAAAAGATATGTGAACAGTTTCTAAGGATTTAATGAAGATGAAGCAATTTCTGAGATTAGTAACAAGATAGTGGAGTTGGGTAAACAGCTGGAGTTAGAAATTGATAATGAAGATGTTGAGCAGTTGGTTGAAAGTGTGGCAGAAGAGCTAAGTAACGAGGATCTTATTGACCTGAATGCACAGAAAATTGCAGAGGCAGAAGAGAGACAAAATGTAGAAGAAGAACCTGCACCCCCCAAAAAGTTTTCAGTGAAACAAATGGCAGAGGCATTTGCTACTATTAATAAGGGGATGCAAAAATTTGAAGAAATGGATAAAAATGTTGAGCATTTTGCAAAAGTTGACAGAATGATCCAAGATGCACTTGCTTGCTACAGGAAGATTTACAATGAAAAGAAAAGGCAAACTGTGCAGTCTAAATTGGACATATATTTTAAGAAGTCCCCCACTGCTGTCTCCTCACGCCCCACCACTGCTGCCTCTTCACTTCCTAAAGATGATCCAATACTTTCAACAAGCAAGTATGTTAGTCTGTCTGAAGAAAGCAAAATTGGTGGCCCACCCAGCCCTGTCTCCTCCTCTGCTTCATCCAATTAATGTAGTCTCCATGTTTAATTAAAAAATTATTGAGGCCCTGTGTGCATTCAGCTGACTACATTAAAGGTAAGTGCACAGCAAAACTTTATTAATTTTTCATTATTGATTACTTTTAGTGTACCTGTACTGTATTTCATTTTAGATTTTCTATGTATTATTTCTGCCCTTTCGACTTATGACCAATTCGACTTACGACCTGGACGTCGGTCCGGAACCCCGTCGTAAGTCGAGGAGAGACTGTGACTGTAGTACCAACTCTGAACCTCATGGTATAACCCCTTGAACATTTGTTTTTATATGTATTTCAACATTAAGTGGTAACTAGAGTAACAGTAACCATAGAGAGCAATCTTAAAATGAAACACAAATACAGTAAAGCTGTTATTAAACAAAGTAATATGCAACAATAATAATGAGTGAATAAGAATGGCAAAAGGATAAGAGCCACAGTTATTGCTGTACAGCACTCCTTGTAACTTAAATCTTAATTACTAATATGTACTGCATGACTTACAATGAGCTAATATTTGTTGCATCATTTGAAATCAACATTTAGCTATACCCTGTACAAGAAATTTACTTGGACCACTTGACAGGGATAAAATTCTCTGGGAAATACTAAGAGTACTGACATTTTCATGAGTGGAACAGGTCTACTGATGTTTTATCTAAATGTGAAGGATCATAATTTAAGGAAAGGGGAAACGCTGTAGTTGCAGGTGAGCAAACACCATTAAAAGTACTGACCGATCATAGCGAATATGTCAGACTGATAGCTGGACCCTTCCTTTTCGGTGGAGGCATCACGGCGGTACAGCAAGAGACTGAGAGCCAACCCGAAGTAGGCGCCAAAGGTGTGCACAAACATAGAGTCACCCATGTCAATTGCCTGTAGGATGATAGAGGTAGCTCCTTAATGTCGGGTTTAAGATTCTCTACAGTAGAGCTTGTATAGGGTATGTAAAAATTTCTTTGTAACTGCAAAAGTGAAAGTTCATTTAAGAAGTCCTCATAGTTTTAATACAGTACAAAGAAAACAGGCAAAATATTGTAGAGTCAACATTTCACTGTGATTCCACTATACTGAGGGTAAAATGTAACAATTCCGAGTTAAAAAAAAAAGCCAATAAGGCCAAAGATTAGGCACCCCAGCTTATTTCACCTACTGATTAAACACCCTAACACTTCCTGAGGGATTTTGGCGAGATAGGTTCGGTTAGCATTAGGATGTTTAACCATCAAGTGAAATACAGTGGCGTACCTTATATCCATATGATCCCAATGTTGTGTTGTAGAAATGAATCATCAGTCTCGGATAGTCTAAGTGCAATGTAATGCTTTATATTCAACCACAAATTTTCACGTTTATTTTGCACAATATTATTACCGATTAGTCCCTCAGCCTAAGCAAAGAACCCTACTAGAAATAAGTATATGATGACTTCGCTGGCTATCTTTGGTTGAATAGACCTACTGTTTACCATTGTTTGTACACAGTAATTGCATTGTCTAGGTAATAATAATAATAATTATTCAGTAAAATTGTCATACAGGTTCACAATTAGATACGGTAAGCATGATTATAAACTACATGTATGCAGTTATACAGTTCATCATGAATATGGACAATGGAGGTACTGTGCACATAGGCCATGGTACTGTACAGTCCAGGTATACAGTTTCATGTGTGCTGAGAGAGTGCAGGTAACAACAAAGGTAAACAGTACAGCAACTTGATCAAGGATAGCCGACAAAGTTGTCCAGTGCTTATTTCCAGAAGGGTCCTATGCTTGCATTGTCTTAAACGTCTATGTATATTTCATTTCTGCATTGTTTAAATACATGCTGAATCAATGTAAACTTGTACAGTATGACAATTTTACTGAATAAATGTCTATATCTAATAATTTTTCTACAAATTATCAAAATTCAGTTGATGGATGGAATCTCTTTCTCGAGTGAGGATGATAAGAGGTACACTCACCCCTAGGTAGGTCCTGCCGATGACCTCGTTGATTGCAAATAGCGGAATCTCCATCATGGTCACTATGATCAGCTGGGTGGGCGTGGTTTTGCCAATCACTGACCCAAAAGTGATCAGTACAGTTGCCGCCGTGAAGTCTGCCCCTAACAACCTGGTGATGATATTAGAGGTGGCGGTTGTGGTGGGGATGTGAAATGGTGTCAGTTACTGTGATGTTAAGAGTGATATGGAAGTTACTTAATAGTGATTATGGGAGTAATTGGGAAATGCTTGTAATAGTGGTAGTTATTATAGTAACAGTAAAAGACAATAAGCAGGTATAAACTGTAGAAACTATTTCCAGACATTCAGGGCCAGATTCAGGAGTGGGCAAAGTGGGCAGCTGCCCAGGGGCCTCCACATATTACAATATGTTCTAATTTCCTCAATATAACTGCATATGGCTTCAAAATTCTCCAAAGAAGTGTTCAAATTTCAAAATTTTCCCGAGGGGCTTACAGCGCCCCCCGGAACTCCCAGATGTTTAGGCTCGCTTCACTCGCCACCCCACCCTCTTGGGAAGTTATAATGAGGGGGGCCTCCACAAAGAGGCTGTCCATGGGCCTCCACAGGTCTAAATCCAGCACTGCAGACATTACAACAACAGGTAGAGGTGACTTACGAGTTGAGATCGATGATGATGTAGCCGTACTTGAGATGGAAGAATCCGTTGACGAGGAGAGCCCACTGGAGGCAGAGGACCCCGATCATGAAGTTGAGGCCGACAGCACTGAACCCATACCTCTTGAGGAATGTCATTAGGAACCCAAAGCCGACGAAGATCATCACATGTACGTCCTGGAACACTGAGCAGGGGAGGAGCATTTTATTATGGATGACAGCCATTGTTATACTAAACTGTGAATAAATAGACATACAGTATAGTCTGGATTTACGCGGTTTTTGTTTACGTGTTTGGTCATTTACGCGGCACCATGCCAGAATGAAATGTTTTAATTACGCGGTAAATTTCATCATTTACGCGGGTGAAGTATAATTTGTTTATTTACTGAAGATATTTGTTTTTAGCTCATAAAATTCATAGAAATTACCCGGCCAGACTATAATTTACATTGCTGGAATTCTTATAAGATGGTGATTATTTTAAATATAAACATCCTAAAATTTGCATTAGACATACAAATTTTAGGTTAATTTAAGAATTTTATTAGAAAGAACAAAAATTTTATCTATTGTGCAAAATATATGACGTTTATATTCAAAATATTCCCTGTCTTGCAAGGAATCCAGCAATGTCAATTATATTATCCTAACTTTAGTCTGAGGTATTATTTATCACTAAAAATGTAAGCCTAGTGTTTTCCCCCAAACATTTCTCTGGTAGGGAGGAGCCAGTGAGCGTGGGAAGAAGGTGGGGGGGGGGAGTTGAGTCCATTATTTGAATGGACATTAACCAGCGACTGTATTTCCCTTAAATATTAATTGTGTGTGCATACCATCATAAAATTAAGATGTTATTTTTACTACTATGTAAGTATTGTGTCGGAAAAAGTAAAGTTTGGGGGTCGGCCCAGTTCTCTATTTCAATTAATCCCATATGTTCTGTTATTTCATTTACGCATTTCTCGTTTTATGCGGTACTTCAGGGTTCAATTGACCGCGTAAATGCAGACTATACTGTACATTGTTAAACACACACACACACACACACTACCACTACTACTACTTTACTGTCACTCAGAATCGAGCATGACGATCATCCAGCTATGATACAAAGATACGAGTTATTAAGGATGTCACCTACGTTGGTGAGTTCTGAGGTGACTAAAGAGGCCGATATAGGACTGGCAGGGTCGATCACAGATGTTGCATATGTGGGGGGCTACATCTAGTGCGTGAGGGACGGCGGTAGCATCTTTCCGGCGTTGACGCTTGTCTGCCTCGTTATGCAGTCAGGCTAACTCGAAAGTATTGACACCACCTTGTGTGGTGATCCTCCAAGCGTTACGGTGTGGAGTAATTGTCTCCCAGGTGAGGGGGTCGATTTGGCACTTTTTCAGGTTTGTCTTAAAACTATCCTTATACTTTTTCAGTTGCCTGCCAGTTTTACATTTACTATTCATTAGGTGACTGTAAAGTAGCTGCTTTGGCAGTCTACTGTCCTCCATGTGGGTAACATGGCCAATCCAGCTAGTTCATGGATAACAGTAGCCTTGATGCTCCTACAGTTGGTGTTAGCAAGAATACTGGCCTTTGTTCTCTCGTCTTCCCAGCGAACTCAGAGGATGGAACGTAGACCATATTGGTGAAAGTTTTCAAGTGCCTTGAGGTGCCTCCTGTAGGTGACCCATGTCTCGCTGCCATATAGCAGGGTGGGGAGGACCACTGCTCGATATACGTGTAACTTTGTAGATAATTTCAGCTCCCTACAGCTGAAGACCCGGTTTCAGAGTCTGCCAAAGGCTTCATATGCACATCTGATCTGAGACACCGAAAGTGGGTAACAGAGAGAGTAGTACCATTAAGCTGGATGGATGGTGGAGGTGTGGCTGAACCAGGGGCAAGCTGAAAGAGAATCCAAGTCTTACATACATTCACCTCATGGCCAAAGTGTGCTTACGCATCTGCGTTGGTATTCAGGATCTCCTGTAGGTCGCATTCAGTGTGAGCAACAAGGGGGAGGTCGTCTGCATACTGAAGCACAATAATGGAAGCTGCCAACACCTTTGTTCCTGCCTGGAGTCATCATATGTTGAAAAGACCCTTCATCCAGTACTCGATGTCCACCCCACCGGCTAAATTGGCGCTGGTGCGAGTAAGGAAGGCAGCCAAGAAAATGGAAAAGACAGTTGGTGCCAGTACACATCCTTGTTTTACCCCCGTTTGGATGGGGAAGAACTCAGACTGGGTTCCACTGTGCAGGACACTGCTGTTCATGCCATCGTGGAGTTGCCTCATAATGGAGATGAATTTTGGTGGGCAGCCAAAACGGCTGAGGGTCCACCAGAGGGCTTCCCTGTTGACCGAGTTGAAGGCCTTGGTTAGGTCGATGCAAGGTCAATTGACCTTGGGTCAATGAAAGCCAGGTTCAGGTCACGACGCTGTTCTCTGCACTTTTCCCACACACAATTAGATTTCCCCAGGTGTAATTGATTCAGAGACAAAGTTATCTTATATAAAATGAACTTCCCGAAAACACGTAAGGCTGCACGATTCTTATTATGCTTAAATCGAGAAAATAAATTAAAAAGCTTCATAAAGTTCACTGTTGCTTGTCATCTGCACAAACGGTGAACAGAACGGTAAACAGAAGTCCAGACCAGACAATATTATGTCAGTCATTATGTTCAACCCACACAGATGAATCTATGTATGAATAACCATGTTGAAGAAGGGGGCATGAATGTGATAGGTGGGAGAGCAGTACATGTACTTACTACCATAACTGTCACTTGGTAAGCAAGTCTCTCCTGACTAATGTTGACATGTTTATGTAACAATGATAGCAGTTTTAGGGGTGCATGGACAAAATACCATCAGCTTATTGCCCACGAGACAATCACTCATCAGTATACAGTACTATACTACCATAAGTTCTGAGATGGAAGGGAGGTTAGGAGTGTAGATGGCTAATCTCCAGTTTAATAGAATCGCGTGAGTCCGAACATATTTTACTGTTTGAAAATGAACGAAGGAGAAAGGATACAGGTATGAAATACCTGTAATGAAATTCTCCAGGACACCATATCTTACCTCAAACTTATTGAACACTAAAGTTAGCGGCAATGCGGATACAGTACTGCAACTCAAGACTAAGTAGCTTTTAGTACACAAAAAGCTGTGACTGACTGGCAGTGCACTATACAGTACTGTTTAATTTCTTACATGTTAACTTGAGATACACATTCTATTGGGTTGGGTGGACTAGGGGTGCCCCACTCAGTGGTCAGTCATGAGAGACAAACCAGCGTTCTTTGGGTGAGCAAGCAACCACTTCTAACGCCACTTACATTGAGGATATTGCATAATTTTTTCCTCACACATTTCTATCCTCTTCATCCTTTACCAAGTTATAGTTAGTACTGCACAAACAGAGCTTTTGAATACTGTATAACAGAACATGTGTTAATGTTACCATAATACTTGAGGGAACAAGTAAGTTCTGGAACAGTATCAGTATGGGCGACAGCAAAGTTTTCGCTACGCATAGTGGGTCGAATCTCAAACACTTCACTATCTACAGACTTATGTTTATTTACATAAAAGGTCCTTTTTTTATAACTCATGTGTTATTAAAAAATTAATGGTTGCCCCTTGTGTAACGAGGATGGCTGGCCCAAGGGCCACCTAGGCGTGAATTTGTTTAAGGTGTAGAAGCTGTCGCCAACACAACAACCACACCCTAGGCAAGTTAACTCGTCCGAGAAGACTGGGGGCGAGGCGAGAATGCTGACCATTACACCCCCCCCCCCTCTCCCACCTCCCAAGTGGCTACAGTAAACTTTCATACCAGATTTTAGATGAATCCGACCAGTTTGTATTTACATCCATACCAGCTTTTGTTCATATCCACACCAGCTTCAATTTACATCTCAGTACATGTAGATCAGTTCTTGCGTTTACCTATAACCAGTGAGGAGGAAGTAGTGTAAAACAGCAGCCAAAATGGACAGCACGGATTAGAATCCCATCGACATTTGAGTTAAACCAAGGAACTCTCACCCTTATGTAGCGATATTTGTGTTAATACCAAGGAACTCTCACCCTTATGTAGCGATATTTGTGTTAATACCAAGGAACTCTCACCCTTATGTAGCGATATTTGAGTTAAACCAAGGAACTCTCACCCTTATGTAGCAATATTTGTGTTAATACCAAGGAACTCTCACCCTTATATAGCAATATTTGTGTTAATACCAAGGAACACATCTTTATGTAGCGATATTTGAGTTAATATCAAGGAACGTTCATCCGTATGTAGTTATATTTGTCAATACCAAGGAAATTTCAACCTTATGAAGTAATAGCATGGCAATGAGACCTTCAGGCAGGGATAATTACAGTAGTGTCAAATTAAAATCAACCTAATTACAACATCTGCACTATGCCACAGCAAACCTCACTCTTAGAGGTAACCAGCACAAGGACGAGAATAAGAGTAATACCACACCCTAGATAGATTCATTACGTTGTACATATCGTCGCAAATAAATTAATTCACACCACGTTCAAGGTAAAAATTCTGATCAGTCAGAGAACAACATAACAAGCAGGAAGCCAGGGGGTTATGCTAAGTACTAGCAGGTACTGAAGGGGGTGATCAGTATTCAGTAGATAACAGCATGGTGCTGATGACGGCACAATTATATATGACTTGATATCGACTTTGAGGCGTCCGTGCGTAAGGTTACTTGCTGGGGCGCGGAGTATCATTGGCGGAAAACCCCCAAACAATTTCCCCCAGGAAAAATATCCTGCCGGAAAATTATCTAAGAAAAATATTCTACGGGACACTATCATCTCATCAAAATAATGAAGCGGACGACCTCTAATATCTGCTACGTAGTAAATGCGATATCCTTTGTGTATCGTATCGCATCGCCAATTTCTACCTTCTATAGAGGTTATAATAAAACTAGAATAACATGACTTCCGCTATAAAAATCTAAATATAATATAGTAAACAAAATTTATAAATTTTCAATAGACACAAAAGGATGAAATTGATCGCTAACATAAGTTGAGCAGGTGACGGCGTGTAGTAACTGAAGTGATTATGAATTTAAACATTCCGATATGGCGCTACATTATAACGGGAATGAATCATTCATTCCCTTTATAATGTTATGGCTCGTCATAATCAAAGATTATAATACATATTCAAGGCTTATCAAACCTGAATTAAACGGAAAACAGCAGTTAATCAAGGTGTAATCAATTATGCACATGTTCATAATACAGTTCCCACTTAGGCTATACGCTAAAATGATGGTCTGTAGGAGTTATATCTCTACTCTTGGTGCTATACTAAACTACACCTGAAGATAAAACCTTCCTCCTATCCCTGCATTGTACTCCATTTTTAGTATACAGTACTGTACTACACTTGGTGTGGTAATCCACCCCTCATCTTCCTGCACTACACCACAACTGTTTTAGTTCTGCACTATACCTGGCACAATAAAACACCATAGCACCTCTCGTTTAACAAATCACTACACCTGGGACAGCCTAACAACAATAGTTTACAGGTACCCCCGTCGTACATGGTAGCCAATCTTGTCACCATAACACCAGCCGTCCATCCTTGTCTGGCCTAGTGCCTCCACCCATAACACTTCCCTGCCTCCCTCACTCCGTGTTATAACATCCTCGTCTTCTGGGCTACACATACTAAACGCTCTTACGACTTACAAAAGTCCTTAGACAACACATGTGGAGTTTTCTATACCAAATTATCGTCATTAGTAACTCGGCTTACTATTTTACATAAGTACATATTAAGTTGTTTAACCAGTAATGGATATTCTGTGAATGCTGAGGGTTGGCTTATAAACATGTCCGTTAAATTAAATAACCAGTCTGGCTCAAGCTATGGGAGAGAAGGGATCGTGACTCGAATACTTTTCCATCTAGGATTTTACACACTAAAAGTTCACCAGACTTTTGAGACAAATTTTAATTAATAAAAAACAATTATCATATGTCTGTTTGTAGCCTATGCTGTGGTCGTGAGAGTGGAGTAGTTTAGTTTTTTCGGTGCACACTGTTGTATTTAGAAGAAATTCTTTTTTTCATCTGAAGTATATTCGTGGGTGGGTGTATGACAACAGTGTGCTAGGCTGCTTTAGTGTAAACAGGAAGATTAGGCTATTCCTGGTGTTCTTGTAGTGCATTAAGCAATTTAGCTTATACACTTAATGTCCTTAGTTGTTGAAGCACAGAAATACACGGAAAAATTGCTTGTGAAGTGTGTATGTGAAATTACCGAGACAACGATGGCAAGAACCGGTCTCTCCCTTCCTTCTCCTATCTGGGCGAGCATGTCATCCATCCCAGGAGTCTCCAGTACAAAAGTGGTCTAAGGATCCTTATCTCAGCTGCTATGTGGTCCTTGACCATCGCTCTGGCCACTTAACCGAAGTTATGTAACCATCGACCCACACGTATATACTGTACAGTACATACAATTCATGCATACATAAACATACTGGAGAGATAGTGATAAAAAAGTCTATCTTTTTTTCCCAAGCCATTCATAACTATACCCCAATACTTCTACCCCTACTACGTACTACTCACTTTACTACTACTACTACTACTATTATTACTACTACTACTACTACTACTACTACTACTACTAATAATAATAATAATAATAATAATAATAATAATAATAATAATTCCCCGATACATCTCCTATTTCAGAACATCATTAATTCCACAAGAACCTCAAGAGTTTTATTAATGTTCTGCTGGTGAAGTCCTCCAAGGCTCGTGTCATCATTAGCACAAGATAAGGTCACATCTAGGGCCTGGGTCTGACTTTTCTCATTGGCGTTCAAGTGTCTGTACTTCACTGCCTTCGAATTTCTACAACGAAGTGGTTGACGTTACGGCACCAGAACGCTGTTAAGTGAAGGTTACGTACGGTATCCTCCAAGTCGTTAATGTTCCGATATCGAAAAGTTACCGTCATGCGAAGTGGTTAATGTGTGATATGAAATGCAGTATTTAGGACAGACTATTATCTAAGCTGATTAAATTCTGGTATTTGGGTTATATTAGGCTATTGGAGATTGGTTAGATCTAGGGAAGGCTAGACTGTTTAGGTCAGGTTAGATTATGTGGGGTCAAGTTAAGTTCTGTGGGTAAGGTAAAGTAATTTGAATTAGGTTAAGTTTTGGGGGTTTAGGTTAGGTTAGTTTAAGTTATTGAGGTCAGGTTAGGTTATGCTAGGGTCAGTTATATTATGTATTTAGGCTAAGTTAGGTTAAGTTACGTCAGTAGGGAATAGAAGGTGGGGTAACTCACTAGGGTAGGTCGCGCTGTGGGAATCGCCAGTGTTATATTTTTCCAACTTCTGCGAGAGCGTATCATTATTCGCCAGGGGATTATGGCGAGCGTCCGCATCTGGGTGGTACCTGGTGGCGAATGAACAAACGAAATTGAAATTAAAATTTAAACAGTTAATTTAACCAGAATAATAAAGACAAAGTGTACAAGAACAATATGAACATGGGTGAGCTTTTCGAATCTTGCAGCTCTCTTGAATGCATGTCGTGAAATGAAATATAGATTGTTTTAATAATCATTCATACTTGCGATACACCACCACACGGTAGTAACAATGACCAATTCCGATTTACAAACTCAATATTTTCTAAGAGATATTTACAGGTTATAGACAGATAAGATAAATATAAAACACAGAAGAATAAAGGATGGGAGAAATAGATTGTTATTATAAGTACTTAACGTAATGCTATCAATGTCAGGGCCGTCCCTAGGAGGGTGCGGGGCCCAGGGCAACTCAGCCACTGCGGGGTCCCAGATTATGTGGTCAGAGGAACCCACACCAACCAACCACCATGGGACTGTCGCGATGGATAGTAAGGGCACGGTTGCGTTGGTGGCGTAAGCCGTCAGGTCAGATTAACCAGTCAACAGGTTATGTGTCCGAGGTCACTGGGTCTAGTGCTGGGCCCCGCGGCCCCCCCACACGCGCGGGGCCCCGGGCGGTCGCCCCTGTTCGCCCCCCCTAAAGGACGGGCCTGAATGTATCATCAGAGACAAAGAGACACACATAGAGGCAGATATGAGAGAGATAGAGCATAAAGAGACAGAATAGAAGAGTGTGGAAGAGATACTTGTGCGAGACAAAAAAATTGAATACGGAGAAGCAACACGTGAAGAGGAGAAGAGGGTGTGAATGTTGATGAATAAATAAAGGAGTGAAGTGGAAAGGACTAAGAGAGAGAGAGAGAGAGAGAGAGAGAGAGAGACAGAAGTGGAGGATCAAGTGAAGTGGAAGTTGTACCGGGTGAGAGTTGGTGGATAAGCCACCGTTACGTAACCTATTATACGAATACTACCCACGATTCACCCCCCTTCCCCTACGAGTGTACCCAGTCACTTAGGTATACTGCATAGCCTGGACCCACCACGAACTAGCGAGACTTGTACGAGTTAATATGAAGGCGAGAATTATGTAATTGTAACCTAAAATATACAATTAACACAATAGTAGTTTAATGGTAAGATCGTATTTTTATAATCGAGTTAAGCCTCTGGGCAATAATTGTCACGAGGCTTTGGCCGTTATCAGTATTACAAACAACTGAACAAATAATACGATTTCTAATGAAATGAAATTTTAAAATTCTTCCCAAGGAACAGTTGGCGGTTGGCCACTATCTCCCCTAACCCCTTCACTACGGGGACGCCACATTTAATATTCTATTTGGGTAACGTATGACGATTTTATTCAATAGAGAGGGGACCCCGTACACAAGTGGTTAAAATCGATGGAGTTTATCTTCCTTCCATAATAATGTGCCATTAACCTCTGCCTGCAGCACCTGTCTACGGAGTAACTAATAAATTAACGTACTAAGGATAACAGGTCAGTCCCCCTATACACCCTACCTAAGAGTCAAGGTTAACTCAGATTATAAAAAAAGGGTCCTGTAGCTCCCCCACGCCTCGCCTCACAGCCTCTTGAATAACTATCAGGATATTAGTACGCCTCTATGAAACCGAGGAGACCTGTCTACTACCCCAGATGGTAGTGTTCGCGCCAACATCTACAGGGGCTCAGAGGAAATACGATACTGTCTTTGGAATGTATGTGTGTGTGTAATAATAATAATAATAATAATAATAAACGGTGTATAGTAATTGAACAAAATATGAATTAATATATATCCTTAAATGCAGCAAACTTGTTAAGTAATCCTAAGTACATGACGTCTTCTCTCTACACTCTGAGAACTCAATTTATATGTGGTTACTTCTATTAGTGCCGGTCATCTTATTCGAAAAACAACATAAGGAAGCCTAGCCTGAATATGATCACTCGTCAGATACAGTAACTTTATAAAGGGGATATTCTAAAATGGATTAGGGCGTGGTTACAGGACAGGAAACAGCGAGTGAGCATTAACGGCACTAAATCCTGTTGGAGCAACGTCACTAGTGGAGTTCCCCAAGGCTCAGTACTTGGACCATTATTATATTTTATATACATAAACGAAATAGATATCGGCGAAGACAGCAACATAATTAAATTTGCTGATGACTATAATAGGGCGTGTAATTAAATCTGACGAGGACTCCGCAAAACTACAGGGAGATCTAAACAAATTTTTCGAATAGTCCGAAAAATGGCAGATGAAATTCAATGTGGACAAATGTAAAGTACTCAATGTAGGAGATGTAAACAGGGAAACCAGATACCAGATGAACAACGATGTTATTGAGAAATCCGACTGCGAGAAAGATTTAGGAGTAATTATAAATAGGAATCTTAAGCCAAGTAAACAATGTGTATTTGCTCGAAACAAGGCTAATAAAGTACTTGGGTTCATACGAAGGAGTGTTAGTTTCAAGGCTAGCGAGGTCATCCTAAAACTATATCTTGCGCTTGTGAGACCTCACTTGGATTACGCAGTTAATTTCTGGTCACCGTATTACAGAATGGATATAGAATCCTTGGAACGAATCCAGAGGAGAATGACAAGACTAATCCCGGGCATTAGGAACCTTGAGTACAGAGAAGGTTAAAGCATCTTAATTTGCACTCCCTCGAGAGACGTAGAGTGAGGGGTGATATGATAGAGGTGTATAAATGGAAGTCAGGGCTAAACAAAGGGACATTACAAAGGTACTCAAACTATCCAACCAGGAGCGAACTTGTAACAATGGTTTTAAATTAGACAAATTTAGATTTAGGTTTGGAAATAGGGTAGTGGACAAGTGGAACAAGTTACCAAACATCATCATTAACTCGAATACGCTGGATAACTTCACACATAGGTTGGATAGATATATGAGCAATAGGGGTTAGGTGTAACGGGACTACCCAGTATGGGCTAACAGGCCCGCTGCAGTTTCATCCATTCTTATGTCCTTATATCGTCCTTTTGAGACCCGACTGAAGTCTGTCCTGGTCATTCCTGGGACTTGTGGTAGACATATTGCCCTTCAGAGGACATATTTGTAAAAATGTGGTCATAGGAACCTTCCCTAGTCCACCACAGCTAAAAAAAATGGGGGGGGGGGAGAAGGGGGTGATGAATCATTACATTACAATTATACTTCCTAAGTAGTAGGAGATCCCGTGTTTCAACCATTCACTAATTAAATATATTCGTCTCAATTAAATTCCTGTCCTTACTTTACCAATTCAGAGTGACTATCGGCCTCGGGGCCATAATTCAGATGATCGCTGTGAGTCAAGGGTCGAGATTCCGGTATAATTAGTAACTGGGAATTAATTATCAGAACAGCGTTTTACCCATTAATGATTTTAATTACAAAACTCCGGCATAATAAACCTATATTTTCCTTATCTCGACAATGAATTACGGTATTCTTCATATATGGCAAAAAATTGATCTTACTTTCACCGGGTTTAAGGGTTATGACATATTTGAGGAAGGAAGGTGGTGAGTGAGGGCATTCACTCGTGATATTTTGTGTTAAGAGGAAGTGTGTGTGTGTGACTATAGACCCACACTTCAGTTGGTTCATCTTAAGAAGTGGGCGTTATTTGTTAGGGTGTGGGCGTGGTCTATGATAGTTTACCCTTGTTCTGGGAGACACCCGCGCCCACATGTTCCCACGGAGGCCTGCAGCAACTCTTGACACAGCACACAGCAGAAATGGTTGTCGCCCAGCAGGTGGTGGAGGGCGAAGTGGGTGGCTGGGTATAGGCTACACCAGCATCATGTGAACGCGGCGGTAAGTGTGTTTATCACCTAAAAACCGTGGAGGAAAGATGGTAGGGAGGGAGATGGATGAGACAGCTGCCAGAAGAAACAAGTTGGTTGATGTGTGCGGCGCCCGCCTGCCTGGCTCGTCCTGCTCGCATCCCCCCTCCCCAACACCTCCTTATTTTTATTTATTTTTTTACTAGAGATACGCCCACAAAATCTCATCGGCCGTAACTTACCGGAGAAGAACCCTAGAGACAATTTCCCTCGAGAAAAAAGCCCACCGGAAAAAAATACACTAGAATAAACTTAGTTGAGGTTACAGTTCGTCTTTATCCACGCGCGTTTATACTAGAATAAGAATACATTGCCTATGCTGATAGAATACTTAGGATATCCTCGCGTCGTCCATACTAGGTAAAACAAGCATTACTAAGAACTGGTCAAGATATGCTGGGAATAGCACGTAAGCTTGCCTTGGAGACAGCTCGGAGCTCGGGGCGTGAGTGAGCTGGGCTAAAATACACAGGTTATCATCAGCTACGAATTTTAAGGAGTTATCTCAAAGTTGGCTCGATAGTGTTTTTGGAAATTCTGTGCGCGAGGGTGTGTATGTGTCATAAGAACATAAGAAAATAAGGAGTCTGCAATAGGCCGGTTGGCCTGTGCATGGCAGCTCCTGTCGAGTTACTACCACTCTATCATCCATGAATCTATCTAGCCTCCTTTTAAAACTTTCCAGCGTTCCAGCACTTACTACAAGTTGCTAAGCTTGCTCCACTCGTCCACCACCCTATTTGTGAACCAGTTCCTTCCTATCTCCCTCCTAAACCTAAACTTATCCAACTTAAATCCGTTGCTCCGAGCCCTATCCTGCTCGGATATTATAAGAACTTTATCTATATCACTTTTATTGATTCCTTTCACCCACTTGAATACTTCTATCATATCTCCCCGCACTCTTCGTCTTTCTAGGGAGTGCAAGTTTAGTTTCTTTAACTTATCCTGATATGGAAGGTTTCTAAGTCCCGGGATCATTTTCGTCATTCTTCGCTGCACCGACTCTAGTGAATTGATATCCATTCTATAATAAGGGCACCAGAACTGAACCGCATAATCGAGGTGCGGCCTGACTAGCGCAAGATATAGTTGCAATAAGACCTCTGCACTCTTATTACTTACACTTCTAGATATAAAACCCAATACTC